ACGATACCTGTCAGCAGTGCAAATTATTCTACTATTGACAGGACGATCCTGTCAGCAGTGCAATATTTTCTAGCTATTGACAGGACGATCCTGTCAGCAGTGCAATATTTTCTGCTATTGACAGGACGATCCTGTCAGCAGTGCAATATTTTCTGCTATTGACAGGACGATCCTGTCAATAGCCACAGGCAAGTAGGAAAATATATTAGACAAAATCAGGGAGAAATTCAGAATAATGAATGACGCAAGAAATTTCCAAAAATAGATATTTTACGGAGGTGTGAGATCCTCGACTTCTTGTTTATGGATGCCCCTTGTCTCAACCTAACTTCCTAACTTCTCTGTCCAATCAGACGGGAGATGGGTCAGCCAATGAACGGCAAGATCGCCCTGCTGATTCTCGTCACGTCTGCCGTGGTGCTGGCGGGGTGGTATTACGACGGCAGCAGGTTACTACGTGCCGATTTGCGGCCTGTCGTGATCCACGATGTGGCCGTACTTCACCCACGGCCGGGACCAACAACCAACCTCACCAAGTAGGCTACTGACAGGACCGTCCTGTCAAGAACAGAAAATTTCCACTATTGACAGGATGGTCCTGTCGATAACAAAAAAAAAAAGTACTTTAGACCATCCTGTCAATACTAGAAAAATTTGACAGGGTGATCCGTCAATAGTGCAATTTTTTCTGGTATTGATAGGATGATCCTGTCAATAGTGTATTTGTTCTGTTATTGACAGGATCGTCCTGTCAATAGTGCAATTTTTCTGTTATTGACAGGGTGGTCTGAGAAACTGAACATGGTATCCCAGCCAACAAGTTTATTTCATTCCTATTCAAAAAATAGTATCATATATCAGATATCTTTGCTATCACACAACAAATGTTCCCATTTTCTGAAGTTTCTTTTGTTATAATCAAGTGAAAAATCGATGTCACCCATAAAATTGACTTACTCTGGCCTTGTTAACTCGGCTACACTAAGCTAATACACATCAGGCTACGAAATGTTGCCCAGATGTTAATTTGCCTTGGGGTGCGTCCAAGAAGCATGTTTGGATTTTTAAGAAAACGCTTTAGAAGTTCTCAAGTAGTGTTTGATTGATGACATGTCAAGATATTGTCAGAGTGCATTATGTAGATGCACAATACTAGAAGACTTAACACCATAAAGGCAGACTCTAGAGCAGAGGCCAGTGTAATTTTCTAAAAAAAGCCACATTCTTATCAATAAAAAATCAACCCAATCCGCACACTGTTCAACGAGGTCGGCTACTGTTCGGCAGCCGAATACTTAAAAATGGTTCAAACATTCGGGTATATGGACGGGAGGTTTGGCAGAGGTTGGCTGGTGTTCGCTAGTAGGTCAGCGGTGTTGGGGGGGGGGGGGTCAAATTTGACTCAAATGTAACTCAAATTTGATTCAATTCGTATCGAAAGGTAGATGTGGCCTAAATCTGACCAGACTGCTCCCGAACTTCAGCCAACCTTGGTTGATTGGTGGAAGGTTCTGAATGTGTGACAGTAGCTTATACAGTGTTTCCATTTTCTTTTTGCAGGTTGTCGTTCTTAAAAGGGACCGCTAGACCAACAACAATGTCTCAACCAACGCCGGAAGACAGCAGACAAGCGTGTCAAGAACGAACCAAGATCGTCTTCATCAAGACCCACAAAACCGGCGGCACGTCTTTCATACAGATCCTCCATCGCTTCGGCTATCTTCGGAACTTGTCGTTTGTGATTCCGACCCGGCGCAATACTGGCTCCATGAACGGTCTGTACCCCAAGGGGCTGAAGAAGAAGTCGAACTACCTACCTCCGCAAGGCGGCGCTTTTGACATTCTAGCCTATCACACCATCTACGACCGGAAAGCGATCGCGGATTTGTTCAAGAAGCCAGAGAACGTGGCATTTGTGACGCTTTTAAGGGAGCCTCTGAGTCAATTTAGGTCGTCCTTCAACTATTACCGCTTGGCCAAATCGTTTAATATTGTCAGTGAGACTCCTATGGCAAGTTTTCTACAAAATCCTGTGAGGTACAATCCACGACTAAGCCTTCCATCTCTCACGAAAAGCCCCATGGCTCTAGACTTAGGATTTCCACCAACTGCAGTCATTAGCGCAACGGCTCTGAGTCTTCGGAACCACTCGGAAAAGTACTCGTCGACCATTCGGGACTTCGCTCGGAAGATTTCGGAAGAGTTTGACCTGGTGATGTTGACGGAGTTTTTCGACGAATCGCTGGTCTTGTTTAAACGCATGATGTGCTGGCAACTAAAAGACATACTGTACTACAAATCCAACGGTTACATCTACAAACAGAAGGAGGAAGTTCTCAACGAAAAACTGCGTCAAAGCCACAAACGCTGGGATGTGGTAGACTATCCTCTGTACGAAAAACTCAACAACACACTACGTGGAAAAATCAAAGAACTTGGCAACGACTTTCTCTCAGAAGTTGACCATTTCAAAATGGTGAACGCGAAAATGCATCAATATTGTCTCGGAAACTCCAACATAGGCGAACGCGACTACCTCGCTATAGAGAAGAGTACATGGAACGAAATGTTTGTCATAACTCCAGATTTCTGTACACTTGCCAAACTGGGAATACGTTGTTATATGACACTTCTCAGAGACCGAAACCTACGCGTAAGAAACGCCAGTCATAATACCAACTTCCCCACCAATAATGCCTACGAACCCCTCACAAGAATAGACAATGACAAGCGCTATGGTGAAGGGTTTTATACGGAACGATACTGTCAGATATGCGAGGATATCAAAAGAGACTGCACCCTAAACGAATATCTAACACATCTATTCCACGAAAGACTGATATACCCCTTTGATACGAGTTTTTACGTCAGTGTTCATGGAGGGAGGGGGCCAGTGGAAAAGACTCTAGAGGAATGACCTTATATTTAGCCTTGTTTAGGCCACAGCAAGTAAATTCTATGTATTACATCCCCATACGCGTTTTAAATTGTAAGAAATTAAAAATGTTTCCCTCTGGCGATGGTTATAGCATCGCACATTGCTGCATGTGACCATGAAAATAAATGAAAATAAAGAGTCTATTGCTAGGGTCTTACTAGTATTCGCCTCACCGTGTTTAGTCATTTGTTCAACCTTCATATCCACGTAGATTTCATAATGAAGGCAACTTTTTCTGCCAAACTTTTGTATTCGCACGCTAGGATGCTTGAAATATCTGTATCTGGGCCTCGGTAGCGGACATTCAAATGACATGCAAATAATTAAAGAATGCAGTCTCTCATTGGTCGAACCACTAACTGCCATTCTCTCATTGGTTGAACTGATGTCCGGTAGTGTAGGAATCCAGACAATATCAAACACATCTACGCCATACGACAAACTACACGTATGTTCACAATACCACCTGCCGACGTTCCCACGAGTCATATACAACTTACCACAAGTTTTCAGGGGCATTCTCTGCAATTTTTCTACCCTTTCTGTTGGACTGGCTGAAAATACAACATGCTGACGATACTTGTCGTTCTGGCTGTCGTTTTGTCGTCTACAAACGGGCTGGTGAGGACATATTATAAATATACGTATACGTACTGTTACGTTACTTCAGTGATTATTGTTACTTAAAGGGCAATACTACTATGCATACGTAGTTATCAATTTTGAAAAAAAATACTTGTAGCAGTTTATAGTTTTCCATCTGGTAATAGGACAAATATTTTTGTTATTATAGATACCATACAGTTTTAAGTGTTGACTGTCATGTTTTGATACTGAATTGAAGCTGTATTTTTTCAGTCCTGTACGTCCAATATGGACTGTATGTTGGCGAACGCAGGTTGCTGTCGTGTGGACGGTGTAGTGGTTCCAGGACATAGTAAGGATTTCATGCGTTGCTTTTTAATTCTTTTTGTCATTGACTTAGGAAAAAACGTTAGATCAATATAATAAAAAAATCGAATTGAGCTGGCACCGTGGCTGAAAAAAAGAAGAAAATATTGTGCGTGTAACAACTTGCATTTAGTTTTATGCATTCTCCCATGAAAACGCATCAAAATATAAGAAAAAACATATTGGTAAAGGTAAAGGTAACATTTGCAAAACAAATACATAATGTGTACCTTCGCATATGGTCTACTCTGTTAATTCTTACTCAAACAAGACTGTTGTGTTGGATTACATTATGTAGCAGAACAGAGTTGGAGAGGCCTAGGCTGGTCACCATACATATGAATGTAAAATAAACAATTTAGGCTACAGCGTGTGAAAGTAAACATATTGTAATTGCTAAATGGCAAACATTACCTTTCTGGTGACTGATCATGTACTATAGTATACTAGAGGCTCTTTCCTCGCACTTGCCCACGTCTACCCCTATCCTATCCTTTGTTTGCACACAGTTACTAGCTTTTCGCAGCTGCTAGCAATTCTCTATATAGAGGGGTAAGAAGTAGCCTCCACCAGGCCTTTCTACGGGAATACGGATCGTAGAATTCGGCAAAAAAGAGAATAAAATTGGCCAAAGGAGTCCGTCCGCGGGGAGGTAGTTTCTTTCTAACTGCGCGGCCAGTCAAACCTACAAGGCGACCAAACTCCCCCGGCAATTATTCTCCTATATATATATAGCCAGCGTAGTTCGTCTGGTAGAGACTAGGTAAGCAGTAATGAAGATACTGTTCCTTTCATAGCAACGCTCGAAATGAGTTAACTATTCAAACTTCTATCCCACTTTTACTAAACTTACAGACCAAGAAAAAACTATTCTTCTTTTAACTTCCCAAAACCCACTAATTTTAGAGAAGGTGGGACATTACGTCTCCCATGGTCTAAAAAAGAGAAGTCAAACCCTTTAGACATAGTTTTAGACATAGCTATTGCTCTAGACAACTACCTTTTGTCATGTAGATTTTAGTTATTTTATACTACGTTATATTGTTCTTTTATGTTTGTAATAATCTGCAATTAGTCCCCCGGGCATGAATTTACAATAAACTTCATAAATAGATAATGATGATGTATGTTTTCTCTAGCCGACCCTGTTCGCGGCGTCTGCGGCGCGTATATCCAGGAGGGTGAGCCGTGTGCTACCGGCTTCCCCGTGGCGTACATGGGCGACTGCCGGTGTGAGACGGGCCTGGTGTGCTTCCCTGACCGCGGCTCCTACACGACGGGCACCTGCCGCACTCAGCAGTACGTGGACGATCATGGCGGATTTCCCGTCATGCCCATCGGCAAGTAGATGTTGGACCGTCCGCCATCTTGAATGATGGAAACTTGAATCTATTTTGAAATGAATAAAAACGTCATATGACACTATCCTTTTTGGTGAATTTTTAAAAAAGTGTTTCTTGACATAAAAGGGCCAAACTTACCACCATCTGCAACGAGACAAGCTTGGCCCTGGTTAAAATGTCAAACGGTTAAAAAATATGACAAAAATATTGTCCCACCATTGTGTGTGTGTGTGTGTGTGTGCATGTCATAACACAGGATTCGAACTCGAGACCTCTTGACGCTCTGTCGTTAAGCCACATGAGGCACGTTTGCAAGTTGACACAAAATATCACAAAACATTCCAGGTAACATCATGCCACCATGTCACCCAGTCATGTTCACAAAAGTGCCACTATCCTGGCTTAAGCTTAGAAGAATCACAAAGAAATCTGTGTCATGTTCCTTTCAAGTTCTTCCAAGAATACAGGACACATAGGTACTCACAGCCCTTTTTTGTGATTGGCTTGCTAGTGCAACGTCATGCTATATATAGACGGTTCTCGTGACCGCAACAGGAAGTTATAGTTTCACCTGAGAGCGTATATATATAAGAACAGGGAAGGGTATCGCTCAGTATCACTTAATTGTATCATTCTGGACAAAAGCTGTGTATTTTGACACACACATTGGCATGGAGACCGTCTGGGAAGCCCCGATACGCTGTGAGCGCCGCTGGCTGGGGGTCTTCGTCCTCGTCTGCCTCACACCAACGTTAACAGGTGAGTTCCTTTCTCTATTCCTAGTGGAGAGCTATTTTACCCCCAAAGGATTGCATGATATCCTTGTCTATTCAAATAATAATTCATGTTTTATATGGATGTCTAACCGTCATCAACAAGCACTTATATAATATTTGCCAAGACGTCGACTAGTGTAGGGGACTGCTAAAATAGAATTTCTATTGTCCAACACAATGCAAAGATACGACGTGTATGTCAGCATTCACTATACAGGGTATATGTGTATGGCATCATTTTCGTCTCAAAAATCGTTTAAAAAAAGGTACCTTAAATTGACGTAAGTATGTCTACGATGTTGCATTCAAAAGGCGCTTACGTTAGGAGTACGATGCTTTGGTTTCAAATGAGACATAACCACGTTTGCGATAGGGGGACAGGCTTACGTTAGGGGTACGATTGGGGGCACATGGGCCATGTTGACATGGGCTTCACAGTACAGCGTATGGTACCGATGTGTAACTGATGCTTAGCTTGCCATGTGTGACATGTGAGTTGTATGGTACGCGAGCTGTATATCTATTCAATGTACTCTTTTTTGAAACGATTTTTTTGACACGGAATTTGCTAGGTCCTGACTTTACGAAGCTACAATTATTGAATGTCATCCCTGCAATTATATCACTTTTTCCTACGCTTAACATCATTAGACAACAAAATGTCTTCAGTAAGAGACCAATCCAACATCCATCCATATTTCCTGGGTGCAAGATCAACAATGTCTATTTAAAATCCATATTTTCTGTACCACAAGTTTTTACTTCACAAAGCTACAATTATTGAATGTCATCCCTGCAATGATATCACTTTTTTTTCCTACGCTTAACATCATTAGACAACAAATTGTCTTCAGTAAGAGACCAATCCAACATCCATCCATATTTCCCGGGTGCATGATTTACACATGTTGATATTAATATCACAATCTCTGTTAGAGGCACTTTCTACCCCTTATTATTATACCACATGTTTTTACTTCACAAAGCTACAATTATTGAATCTCATCCCTGCAATGATATCACTTTTTCCTACGCTTAACATCATTAGACAACAAATTGTCTTCAGTAAGAGACCAATCCAACATTCATCCATATTTCCTGGGTGCAAGATTTTGATTTCATAACCTTTTAATTTCATACCTCATGCTAAAGTAGCCGTTTGGCACATTTGTATTGGTTATGGGGTTAGGCAGTAGGGAGAAGGTTAAATGAGGGTTTTGTATGTTGTTATGATGACCTGTGATCATAAGGATATGTCTAAACGCTCTGACGACGATGCCTTGTTTTGTTTGTTGACCTAGTAATCTTCAAGACGTTAGATACACTCATGTCTAGAGTTAGGGACCTGTGAACTTGACCTTTGCTCTCACCCTCACACCTTGCCAGTGTATGACCTTGAGAAATACTAATGACCCCTTCTGAAGCCTGTTGACGTGACATGTTTGGGTGATTTGAGTTTTCTGGATGTTCATCTTTGAGTGCAGACTGGTACTTTGTGCTAATCTGATGTCTGTTGGGTTGGGTAAGGGGATTGTTGTACAGAGGCATTCTCTGCTTTCTGAACTTTGTAGTTGTTTTGCTATAGTTACCGATCAAACCCATATATCGTGGTTCACTACTACTGCGTGCTACAGGCATTCTGTGTGATCTGATGTTTGTATTACGTCCCCGTGCAGGTATCTGGTAGTTCTGTGGGTCTCTCCAGACTTGTGGGGCTGTATCGTAGGATGGATGTTTGTCACCCAGCCTGGTTGATGAAGGAAGGACCACCTCAGCTGCAGCAGTGTTCAATCTTACAGAGTAGTCCCTGTCATCTTGAGGTACACGAAGTATCTGAGGGTATGATACTAGTAGCCTCCTGTTATATCTGCAGTTACCAAGCAAACCCATATACTGGTGGCCACTGTTGCCTGTTTGAGGCATTCTGTGTGGTCTGATGTTAGTCTGACGTCCCTGTGCAGGTACCTGGTAGTTCTGTGGGTCTCTCCAGACTTGTGGGGCTGTATCGTAGGATGGATGTTTGTTACCCAGCCGGGTTGATACAGGGTTCTGGTAATTCTGTGGGTCTCTCCAGACTTGTGGGGCTGTATTGTAGGATGGATGTTTGTCACCCAGCCTGGTTGATGAAGGAACGACCACCTCAGCTGCAGCAGTGTTCAATCTTACAGAGTAGTCCTTGTCATCTCCATTTTGTGCTCCTGGTCTTGTGTTGTAGTAGTTGAAGTAGCCATCAGGAATCTGACTATAATCATGATCAGTCTGTGGCGTAGTTGAAGTCCCAGAGTTTTGTTGGTCGTAGTACTCATCAGGAATTTCACTGTACTGTTGCTCACCTGCAGCTGACTGCTGTGTAGTCCTGTTAGGTGCTGTACCATGGGCTCCCGCTAGGGGGCCTTGTTGGTCGCTCCTTGAACAGCAGTTCTGTCTACTGATAACGTACACTACAAGCAGTTCTACCAGTACTACCCCTATTACAGTTCCCATTATGATGATCGCTACATGTGGGGATCTCTCTTTCACTGTTCCATTTGGATAGGGATTGCATGTACACACTGTCTGATTCAGGGCTAACTCTGTTGTCTTGATCTTAGGCTCTATAGTGGTCAGTGGCATCCCCTCTCTCGTAAACAAGGTGCTGTCAGGAGTCCTTGTGGCCTGAGTCTTTCTTGGACACACGGTGCCATCAGGAGTGCTGGACAAGGGTACGGTGAAGACATGTTGGTAGGTCTCCTCCTCCCAAGTGTTGACCAAACATGTTACATTTGTTATTTCTTCACGAGCATACAGCCTGGTCCTGTTTTCTTTAGAGATGACATCTGATAGAACTATAGCAACAATTTGGGGATGGCAGGACTTGTCTACACCCATAGGAACAATCTGCAGAGTAGTGTCTCCCCGTAACGCTACCGTTACAGTGGAGACTTTTTCCCAAGCTTGTTGGCACAAGTGGGTGATGTTTTGAGCAGGTGTGATGTCTGATTCTGTTTTACTAGTATTTACTGAAATGAGAATCAACGGAAAGCTGTACTCTTTCTGATTTTTTGCTATTAGTTGAAGAAAATCACATCGATTGTGTGGTTCAACACTTGGCAGAGCTGTCTGTGTGTGGATGTCATGTTGCATCTGGACATGATAGAACTGCTTCAGCTGGTAAACTTCATGGATGCAGAAAAGTACTTCGTTAACCCTTACTGCAACAAGCTGACCAGAATACTTATAATAGCGGTAGTCCAGTCGCCATTTCATTACCAAATGAACAGAGTCATGAAGACCTAGCAACCTATTCCCACCCAGTGATAGTCTTGGCTTTCTAGATCTGTGCAGCCCCGCTACAGTTTCACTTGACAAACATGTCAACTCATTCATGCTCAAGTCTAGGTCTCCCAGCCCTGACAGTGGCTTAAATGCCTGTGGATGGATCGTTTTGATAGAGTTTGATTTCAAGGAAAGTGTGCCCAACTTTTTCAGATTGTGAAACCAAGATGGATGGACACTATGTAAAGAGTTACTGTCCAGTATCAATGTGAGCAGGGAAGGGAGGTTTTGGAAGCATTTTGAATCCATGTTACTGATGTAGTTGTGTGACAATGACAGGAAGAATAAACGGTGGGTTTGAAACTCTTTACCGAACCAGTTTTGCTTAATGTAGGTCAGGTTGTTGTAGTCAAGGCGTAACGTCTGCAACAGAGGAAACTCAGCCAAAAGGTCCTGTTCCAAATCTGTGATTCCACACTCAATGAGAGCAAGCTCACTTACTTCTGACTTTTTTCTGAGGTGGTCGTAGTTTCTGAACTGACAGTATCCCAAATGAGAACCCCCGAACCGCTACACGGTAGTTGTTAGGAAGGCATGCTGAGGTATGCTGGGAGGAGTTAATCAGATTTAATACTGACTGTTGCTGTAGCTGTGAAGTACATAATATACAGGCATCCTCGCGAGGGCCAGGGCCACCAGGACCGCCAGGGCGCCTGTAATTAGGAATACAGGATGACCAGGATTTTGTGTTCTTGCACCCAGGAAAACATGTCGGGTCTAAACTTGCACCACTCAAAAGGATGGAGAAAACAACTATCACTACATTTAACATCAAGCTAGACATGAAACTATGTAATATAACAGCTAAGTTCTGCAGTAACGGTCTGTGCCGCTGTCTGGTGCAGGGTTGTTACCCCCCAGTCAGGGCCGGCAGACAACCACCCGGCTGGCTCACCTGAAAAAAAAAGAAAGCTTATCATTTTCACCTTGAAATCGAGTACAAAAATCTGTAGTTGAAGTTACTTCAAGCCCTTCCTATACCAGGTTGAGTATAGGACGGCGCTCATCTCCGATTCAATAGCCCTTTGGCCACACAGTACAATTACTACAGCAGGGGGCTAGTCCACTGGTAGTGCTGTGTGTTTAACTCCCATACTCTTTCCCAAATGCTGAGTGCTAATTCTGCAGTATGGGATATTTTTAAAGTCTTTATAACATTATACGAAATTGAGATTTGAGTCGGACAGTTTGTCTTAATTTCAAGGTTAAAGTAGTGTTGCTAGGGTCGAAAAATCCCTTGCTTGTTTAAAACAAAGCGTCTGTTGTACGCTGGCTTGAATATTCCTGTTGTTTAGCACTCTTGCACTAGTTTTGGGGTCTCCATCCAGAGGATTTCATTAAGAGAATGGTACAGAGATCAAACAACTCAATTTTCCGATTTCATATCTTTCATGTAAATGTGAGAGACTTAATTGTTTCTTTGGCACATGTGGTAGTCCTGACGGAAGAAGTTGATGTATATAAGAGCATATAGAATAGAAAACAATGTTACATTTATGAGCTTAAAACTGTTATAAACAGTAAATTGTAATATTTTATCAAAGCAAACTAGACGTTTTTTTGTGATTTTTTATGGAGGGAATTGAGTTTTCTTTTGTAAGGCCACACCATCTCAATATGTTGGTTTTCGAGAATCGGCAAATTTTGATAACATTCAGGGAAGGTACCAGAAAATAATAGTAGGGCTTTTTCGTAAGAGTGGGGCGTCGATTTTTAAAAATCATTTTTATGACAGGGCGGCCCAAAGACGTTGGGTTGTGGGTGGAATATTAACCTTTTTTGATTTTGCGATTTTTTTGCAATTTCCGGAAAGATAAAGGAAGCTAGGTCAAAACATGGTGCCGAATCCCTGGCAGTCTACAGGCTAACATTGACAAAAGGGTATACAAAGGAGCTAGGCCGACTGAAATATGCATGGCAAGCAGCACTATATATCAAAGAATCGTACGGAGTGAGAAGGATTTGACGTGTACTGAAACATGCTGAAAGTGCCACAGGCAAACATTACATCGTTCAAAGGGTCTCTGCAGTACCAGGGCCCGGTTCTGTGGAACCGACTTTCTAGGGAGCAAAGACAACTATCATCTTTAACATCTTTCAAAGACTCTCTGAGTGGGACTTGAGTGGCATATGTTTTTATGATTGGTATGCATGTTGAATTGAAGTTGTAATGTATATTCTTATTGTGTATTCTTATTTTCCCATGTATACTGTGTATTTTATGTAATACTATGTAACCCCAGGGATACCTGAAAAACAGGTCAGTTAGACCTGAGTGTATTACTCTGGTTAAATAAAATAAATGAATGAAATGTTCTTACCGGCTCCGGGGGGCGTCCTTCCCGTCCACTACAACCTTGGGTGACAGCGGTGCCGCGCCTCGACAAGAACAGCTCAGAAAACGGCCAGCAGTCACTGGAAATAACAAGGATACAAAACTTAGTCTCTACCCTCTGTCTTCCATGTCTCGATAACAAGGATGTTTTGACGCTAAGATGAATCTTTTAGTATATTGCATTACAAATTCAAAGTTCCTTCCTACATCTATATGTGGTATACATAGGGCGGCGCCCATCTCCGTTTCTGTAGCCCATGGGTCACACAGTACAGCAGGGGGCAAGTCCACCGGTAGGGGTGTACTCTTTCCCAAATGCCGAGTGCTAAGCAGAGAAGGCGGTATCTATCATTTTTAGTTTTTGGTATGACTCGACCGAGGATGGAGTGCAAGTTGAACACTTCACCCACCTTGCCCAAATGCATTCCAGATTCTAAGTTAACAAGCTTATGGATGCTATATAGAACGCTGGTACAGAAGAAATTGTTTTTTATTCCAACATTTATCACAAGAAATGATGACGGCACACTCAAGGTTTTTCAACTCATTTTATGCCACCACCAACGAATAGGACTAAAGCATGAACGGACAATAGACATTGATCATTATCACATGAGAAAGTCCCCAAGGGCACGAGATCGGTGGCATGGCAGGATTCGAACTCGGGACCCCTTGATTCCGAGCCGAACGCTCTGTCGTTACGCCTCACGACCCCACAATTGTTCAGTTTATCTAAAATGTAATGATATTCACTTTAAGTAGAAACCCATATTTCTGCTGTCTCATATATACATTCTTACCGGTGGATCAGGCGGCGGCGGTTGTTTGCCTTCATTTCTGCATCTTCTGTTCGTCAGATCATAAGAAGGAAAGTTGTCACCTCCGCACTTTCCCGTTCCTGGTCTGTTTTTTGAGACGTGACGTAGTTCTTCAACCCTCTCAGTCCGTAACCATGGCAACGCTTCTGACGTCAGTCCTATGAGTGTGCTCTGTCTGAAATGTGGTGACAGAAAGTTGTAAGTTTCAAAGGAAATTCTTTGCAGCCTAATACTAGTAGCTGCCGCGCACACAAAGTGGTTTGTCAAATTAAACTGCTCTAGATCTGTGTACAGTTCGTACACACCTAATTGTAATTACCTCCATGAAAAATGGAGGTATTGTTTTTATATTTCTCTTTTTCTCTCTGTGTGTATGTCCGTAAAATACACGCTCCCGTCCCGTGTTTGTGTGTATGTTTGTTTGTGTGTGTGTTTGTATGTGTCTGTGTGCGTGCGTGCGTGCTTATGTGTCGAAGTCTTGTCAATTCTTTGTTATTCCCATCAACATATTGCGAGTCACCAATTTGTCTGTGTTACTCTTATAGCTTAGTTTACTTCGACTGACTGGCGAAAAATAGTGAATGCTACAAAATCTGTCCAGTTGTTTCAGTGACAATTCCCCTCCGTAACTCCTAGGTTACTGTAGTGTTTTTTTCCTGATTTTTATTATTCCATCACAAACTCACAAGCCCACACACTGTGACACAGATACATATATTTATGGCACAAAGATCAAACGACTTAATTTTGATCAGGAATTTTATATGCTTTATGTAAATTTACATGTAGTGTTCGGACGTAATTGTCTGTTTTTCAGAGAGGATAAGCAGGCTGCAGGCCTTGTTACAGAGCAGATAGAATTTAAAAAGTACGTTTCATTATGTTACAATACTTTACATTTGGGACAGCATTACTTACTTGTACTTGTACTTGTTGAGGTCTCCTCGAGTCAGTCGTTCGAGTGGCCTGCGCACAGAACTCGTCTCTTCCTCAACAGTCCTCTCCACTCCTTCCTATCTCTTGCTAATTCCTTTAACTCTTCTAGACTGGTACTGGGCCTCCCTAACATCAGCACAGCATCTTCCAGGACACAGTTATTCCATGACTTCCTAGGCCTTCCCCTAGAGCGTCGCCCATAGTTCGGTTTCCAGTCTAGTAGATACCTGGGCAGCCGCTCTTCAGGCATTCTTACAATGTGCCCAAACCACCTAAGCCTGTTGAAAGCTACGGTTGTGGCTATGTTCACTAACTGTGCCTGCAGCAGTACATCACTGTTCCGTACCCGGTGATACCATCTGATGCGGAGGATACGGCGCAAACAGCGTTGGTGAAACGTTTCAAGTCTCGCTATCTGCACCTGGGTAGTAGTCCAAGCTTCACTACCGTAGGTAAGTATGGTAACAACAGCAGCATTGTATATCCGAAATTTTGTCGACTGAAGGATGTTCCTGTTGTTCCAGATCTTACCAAGTAAGTTAAAAGCACCAGAAGCTTTCTGAATCCGTTTGGAAATTTCAGAGTCAATTGTCCCGTTACTGCTGATTGTACCTCCCAGGTAAGTAAAGTGAGTAACCTGCTCCACGGGATATCCATCTACCGTGATCCTGAGTGTGCTTTCTTCAGTGTAAGGTTGCTGTGCAATATGCTTGCCGACTGTCATAGCTTGCGTCTTTTTGGCGTTGGCCTTAAGTCCCGCAAGAGCACTGTTTTTGCATAACAGATCAGTTGTCTCCTGTAGACCCAGTTTCTTGTTGTCAAGTAAAGCCATGTCATCAGCATAGTCCGTATCCAAAACAGAGACCGACGGCTTGCCATGGCTATCCCGCTGCAACACTGCACCTGTACTGATTTGTTTGCTTGTCTCAGTTAAGTGTGCTGCCAGGTTTATGCAAACATTAAACACTGGGGGGCCCCTGAATGTCCCCTTGTCCAGTCCCAGATGTCACATCGAACCAGTTTGATTCCTCTCCGTTCACTCTCACTGCACTGACAGTCTTGTGGAAGAAGGCCTGCAAAACCCTGATGTATTTCCCTGGCAATCCATAAAAAGCAAAGGCCTTCCAGATAAATTCACGGTTGATGCTGTCAAAAGCAGCTTTAAAGTCAATGAAGTTGATGTACAGGGGAATATTAAACTCGATGCTGTTATGAATGATAGTTCGCAAGGAGTAAATCTGGTCGATGCACGATCTATTCTTCCTAAAGCCACACTGATTGTCCCTCAGTAGATTTTCCAGACCCTCATTCAGACGTCCCAGGACAATAATTTGAAAGAGCTTTGAGGCAGTTGATCTAAGCGTTATACCTCGATTGTTGGCGCAGTGTGTAGTATCCCCCTTTTTTGGTAATACAACAATTATGCCTTTGGACCAATCCTCGGGGATAGCCTCGCCATGCCAAATCTTGGCGAAGAGAGTTTCCAGGGTTTTCGTCAAGCCAGGTGCTTCTCCGGGCGCACTGATGGAATTAGGCGACAAGGTGTCGGACTCACTCTCTCCAAACGCATTAAGAACTCTCTGATTTCTTATTCCCCTGTGTCCGAACGGATTGTCTGGGCCAGACTACACAGCCAGCAGATCAACATCTCTGTTGTGGTGGCTTATGCACCAACAGATGGGTCCAGTGAGGCTGAGAAGGATGGTTTTTACACCCAGTTAGCGGACACTTTTGCCGACTTACCTGGACATGACGTTAAGCTTCTCCTGGGAGATTTTAACAGTAAAGTAACATCCGACTACTCGTCTAGGAGAGGGGTCATTGGAAGTCACTCCTTGCACAGTGAATCAAGTGATAATGGAACTCGACTTCTTGACTTCTGTACTCTGAACCAGCTCACTATCGGGGGTACCCTCTTTGAACATAGAGACATTCACAAGGGGACATGGAGATCACCTGATGGTAAAACAGTCAACCAGATCGATCACATTTGCGTTAGCACCAAATGGAGCCACTCCTTATTGGATGTGAAAGTGTGTAGAGGAGCAGACATTGGATCTGACCATTACTTGGTCAGGGGCTACCTAAGGATCAAGCTAAAGGCAGTGAACAAACTGGATGCTGCAAAACACTCCTTCTCCGATCTGGAGCAGCTGCGCAATGGGTCGAAGATAACAGAGTACAACATTGAACTATCAAACCGGTTTGAATGCTTACCTGTTGAGGAGGATGAGCCTCTTGAGGATGCATGGACAAAGTTTACTGAAACGGTGCACTCTGTGTCAGCCGAGGTGCTGGGTGATCGTCCGAGAAAAAGACGGCAGCAGCATCTATCGCAGGTCACCAAAAACCTGATCAAGAAGCGGGCTGAGGTCAAGAAGCGAGACCCCACACTTGATCTCAACCGGTCCGAGTACTCCAAACTTAACAAGATGGTAAAGAAGAGTTGTAAGGCCGATGACAACAATTGGGCGTTGGGGGTTGCCACAGAACTGGAAACTGCAGCGGGTAATGGGAAGCAGAGAGAAGTCTGGCAAAAGATAAGAATTCTTTCGAACAAGCGTAGCACGAAGTCCTCAGCAGTAAGAGATAAATCTGGCAAGCTAATTTCTGATCCTGAATCCCAAAGAGAACGCTGGGCTGAGCATTTTTCTGAGTTGCTGAACCCTCCACAAGACAGTGTTGACCTAACAGTACTAGACAGTTTACCAGGTATACCTTGCTTTCAATATCTTGGGGAGGAGGATGGCCCGCCGACAGTTGAGGAAATTCAGAACGCCTTGAAAAGACTGAAGAACCACAAGACTCCAGGCGTGGACGGTGTATTCAATGAGCAACTAAAATATGGTGCACCTGGCTTGACGAAAACCCTGGAAACTCTCTTCGCCAAGATTTGGCATGGCGAGGCTATCCCCGAGGATTGGTTTGGTTGGTTGGTGGGACAGCATTACCTCAGTATTATCAGTTAACAATATATTATGTTTAACAATACTTTACATTTGGAACCGCATGTAACACCACCTTGTAACAATACCTATTTATACTACAATTTGTTTTACGATTGGGACTGCATTTTTGCAGTAACACCTAGCTCCAGTGCACAGTGAACCAGTCATATTAGCATCACGAAGATGGCAGACGGTTAGTTGTGAATAAAAGAACTTCACTATTCAATCATTCACCAACCTGACGAAATAATTGACGGAAACTTACGTTATTATAAGTTTCAAAGTAACAAGTGTACGTTAAGTTTCAAAGTGATCAATACTTTCTGTGGTTGAAGTTATGAAGGGAACATGGTTTCCTTTCGTCGGGTCACACGAATTTAATCTGTTGGTTCTCGGATTTTTGTCGAAAAAACTATCTTCAATGAATAAGTGGGCAACAAACAAACAAACAAACAAACAGACACAGACCTAGGCATCCTATGATAGACCTACAGGCTCCTACAGGCGTAACACTCACACGCGTACGGGCGGCAAATATTCACTGGGAAGAAGGATGTTTAAAGAGTAAACATTGATTAATCGAGAGGCTCAAAATAAATGTTACGTGCGGTCATATTAGTGATAACACACAACTTCAGAACATTTCACTGTAGTCTGCCGACCTCGACTGTTATGGCCATGTTGGTCTGGTTTTGTGCTGTAGCGTTGGTCTTACAAGTTGCGGGCCAGCAGGTTAGTGTTTTTGTTTGTTTGTTTGTTTGTTTGTTTTGATTCACCAAAACTAATTCTTCATTCCGTCCGGTTCTGTTTGACGCCTGTTGATTCGGAATAAGTGTGAGGGGGGACAAATATTTTGTATGCTATTCCAAAAAAATATCTGAAGAGGTCTAATTTACCGTGACTCTCTTTATTTTTCTTTTTCTATCTTTTCGTTACTGATGAAAATAGTGTAACAGCAACCTTGACTGTCCGGAGGGGTGTTGCCGTGTGGACGGAACAGCCGTTTCTGGTTGGGTCATGCCATCAAACACAGGTATCTATTTCTTACATTTTTCATCTCACCAACTTTTCACGAAAAGCTCGCAATGCTTTTGTACATATACTCAGATATGTAACAAAATGATATTCCGGTGACAGCGGCAATGTATGATGTGTGAACCTGCGACCTGTATATGTATCTTGCATCTATTTATCGGTCAAATAGAGAGATAACATGCCGAAGGAGTTGGTCCGCTAGAGAGTACATGGAGAGGCAAACTGTTCTCTCCAGCAGACCAACTCCTCTGGCACAATATCTCTCTATTCGGCCGATTTCTACTCTTTCTATCAGCTTTCCGAGGCCTAGTAGAGGCTAGGGATTCCAGGCTAGACTATACCACTCCTTCCTGCAGGTGACACCCGTGGAACGTGCGGCCCGTACCTTCAGGAAGGCGAGTCCTGCAGCCTGGGGTACCCGGTAGCGTCCAGCGCTGACTGCCCGTGTACCGGCGGCCTGTCCTGCTACCCTGAGGGCGGCTGGCTGAGCGGGGCCTGCCGCGTCACCGGCTCACAGACCTACCCGCCGGTGGTCGGCCCTCTGCCTGTTGGTTAACATAATATATATAAATACAGGCAACACGACAAGAATGCCTAGTTGCGGCTGTGTGATTCTTTAATGCGGGAAATTACTTAATATACGTTGCTTTTTGGGTCCTTGTTGTTCCAAAAACAAGTAAAATTTCAGGAAGAGTTAGGAAATCTTAGCATTAATTATACATTTAACGTTAGTAGTCTGGAATGGCGTCACGATATGAATTAAAAAGACTTGAAATATATCCATATTAACATATATTTTCCATTCAAAAATGTTGCATAATGTCCCTTTTAAATGGACCAACTTTAAAGAAACTCTTTCTGTCATTGTTTATTTTGTCTCCAGTTTATTTTCTCGGCCTTTTTGTTTCCAAAAGTCGACGCGTAAGCTTTGTACCGATTCTTTTAAAAGGGTAATGTTCTCCAAGTTTTATGTTGTAAGCATGCTGTATTGTTGGTACATACAAAACACGCGGTATCGCGAAACACCTGTTGAATTCCCGCCAAACCATGACCTCTCTGACCCCTCTCTCCTTGTTATTTTGCCATAACATGGTCTATGATAGACCGCTTCTATAGCCACGCCCACATCCATCAAACGTAGAAAAGTAAAATATGCAAATGTATGACGGACATGTAGCCACTCTCTCATTGGTCGAGCGCTACTTGCCCTGCTGTCATTGGCTGATCTACAATTGGTCTATTTATAGTAAACTTTCCTACCGTCTCAGAGCCTTGGCTGGCTAAGGAAAGTTTTCTGACCTCCAAACATGAACTTTAACCCCAAAGTCATACACTACCAGGCTACTTACACCTCTTGTCATAGCAGGAGGCGTATCTTGTACCGAATAAATGTTAATGTAACTGTAAAATAATACGGTCACCTTGGAAAAGAATAAAAGGCAAGTTTCACATCATTGTACTAAAAAAACTGAGGTGTGCTTTCTAAATTTACCAGACGAATCCTAAATTTGAACAGATCTAGAATCTATGTCATCCTTGTCTACGTTTTTGACATAAAGACGCAAGATTTTGAAAGTGTAAGTTGGACGACTTGGCTCAGGTTGATATCAGTGTGCCATTTGCAACCTAAGATTCGGACACAATGAAAATGGTGGATACCCAATCCAGGTGACCCTTGTGTACAAAACAGCCGGTGTTTCAGACGATACCTGGTGAGGTGTGTTTACATGGAGGGTAACCAGGCATCCAGCCCTCCGGCTGTGGGCGTGCGAAACACCCCTCCAGTCGAGGGGGTACAAAAAGAGAACTTTCCTATCCACACACTCATTTCAACCAGAGACAGGTCCCCTACAAGTCCACAAATCGCTACGAAGTTGGTCTTCTTCAAAAAAGGTAAGATTTGTATGTTTTAGAAGGAAAATAATGTTGATTATACATTTTACAATTTTAAAAATGTATCATGATTTCCAATCGCTTTGGGCAACATTACTCAAATTTGTCACAGAAGAGGAAAATTACGAAGTAGGCAGTCTGTATTACTAGTGATAGGCGTAACGTTACGTTACAATGCATTTAGAAGAGTTACATGTAAGTATTCTATTCAGAGTCATGGCGTGAAAAGTCTCTATGTCTTTGTTTTGTTGCGACGATTTTTGTCTAACATGTGGTCCTGACATGGGCGATCAAACAATCACTAACCTAAACCTTAGACATGTGTCTTATAAACAGTAGTGCTGAACCGTGAGTTACGATTGGATGGTTGACTAAACTTGTTAACTTTCTTTGACATCTACTACCAACAGATGCTGGTATAATATAACCTTACAGGTTCCTAGTTTAGTGAATAATATGACCCTATCGCCCACACACATTGAGGCGGACCAATTGATAGAATTATACAGGTAAAATTCCCCTTACGCTAAGGTCGTATCCGATCGGCCGTACGTGGTATGATCATCCTAAACTGCCATTCTTGGGATAGTCGTGTACGTGTCGTACAAAGGTCGGCTGTCTTGTTTCAAATGTGATCGCACCTTTAAATAAAACTTAGCCACCTACAATGAAGGTACAAAAGAAGACTATGATCACAATTTTGGCCATTCGACCGATAAAACTGAATCTAGTATAGAGATTAATTGCCTTCTACCAGCAAACCCCAAATCCTATTGCAGAAGGTCCCTCTCTTTCTATAGGCGGTATTCTTTCTTTAATTTTTAATTGTTACCAATCAAACCCAATTTTCACACCTTCACTTAAAAACACTAATCGTACAAGCTGATATACTACAATCTGTTCAATGATGCTCCATATTAACAGTAATTAAGGGAAAATTAAAAAAATCATGTGAGCGTTTTTTTGTTTTATTTTTTCTAGGATCTTTATTATTGTAAATTTTGCACTCATTTTCACCTGAGCTAAGTAAAGAAAGCAATGTAAAGTGCCTTTCTCAAGGGCACAACATCAGGGAATGTTGGTGGATTCGAACCCAGGACCTATGGGATTTGGGCCAAACATCAAACCATTATGCCACACGGTTCCACCGGAGGTACCATTATAATTCGCTACGTTGGTTTTGAAAGACGATATAATGACATAGTCCAGTTCTATACTGTGGGAAGGTCTATCTACCATTGTTGTCGCCCTTAACACACCTGCAAAGCTTGGAGAAGACAAAGAGATGAGTTCCTCTGACAGGTCAGGTGGAAAACGATAGGTGACATATTGTCTGTATGGTGTGGGATTAGGGATGAGTCTTACCTTAAGTAAACCTGAAGATCCAAACAAATACTGGTGATTGTTAAGATCTTAATCTAGTCACAAGGTTTATCCCTGAATCATACTCTAAGTAGGTATAATTGAAAGAAACAGGCCGGAAGAAAAGACCATATTTTCGGCAGGACTAACCAATGGCCTAAGTACGGTGTCGGATTAGGGTTGAGTCTTACCTTAAGTAAACATAGAGCTCTAAACAAATACTGGTGGTAGTCAAGATTTTACATCTATTCACAGGGGTTATCTATGATTTATGATCTAAGTAGGCATAACTAAAAGAAACAGACCGGACCGGAAGAAAAGACTATATTTTCGGCAAGACTAACCCATTTGTTTGACCAAGAATATCTGCCTTCCATTCAATAAAAGGACGTACCCAAATTTCGACTGTACAACTACAGTCTTTGTTAAAGAATGAACAATCAAGCGCTCAACAAAGACGGGGGGCGCCACAGACTTTCTGCTACCTATGATTCACTGCTCACTGAGTCACGTGTGCCATCTGCATCACGTGACGCCACAAAGACTGGAGTTGTACAGTCGAAAATTAGGGTCAAATTTCTTGTGTTGGAAATTAGAATTTAAAGTTGGTTCATAATTGCTACCAACACAGATAAATTTTCAAGGTTTTGATTTCTTGTTAATGTCTATTTTGCAGTGGTGAGTGACTGATATGGCCGTCATGGCCGTGTCCAGTCGCCACGTCAGGAAGCGGATGGAAGCCCTCAACAAAATGGCGGCCGGACGGGTGCAAGTTCTCCTGAAAAGCATCGAAAAGAACATCGAGATCCAACAACACAAGACGCGGCGATTCAAGGAGAAACTGCACGAAGAACTAGTAGAAATGAAGGCGTCACAAGTCGCTTTTTCTCTGCACAACGTCGGTACAGAGGATGGCTCGCGGGACACCACTAACTTCAACCCAGTCGAAAAGGAGAGTGTTCGCTACGCCAGACTTGTCGACAAAGAGCTAGAAACGGTAAAACTGCTTCTCAGTTCGGTCAACATTCGCCGAAAGAAGCAGGCAAAGCTCTTAAAGAATTGTCGAGACAGGAGCAATAGAATCATCAACAGGAAAATGACAACTAGACAAATATACAAGACGTATTTTCCTCACATTCCTAGAGAAGACACGCCGAAAGCAGAGGTAGAGGAGGAATCAGACGACGATGAAGGCACAAAAGTCTTCCAACCGCCCACCATTTTGACCCTTCCCACACTGCCCCGCGGCAGACTTATACCCATCATGACTCCCGATTCTCCGCAGGTAAAGAAAGGAAAGAAAGAGAGAAGAGAAAAGGAGAAAAAAGAAAAGAAAGAGAAGAAGGAAAAGAAGAAGAAAAACATTGATTCAGAAGATGAAGATAAAAGCGTTCCGCCGACTAGAGAATCGGACGATGGCGGGTTTGGATTTTTCTAAGGATTTCTAAGAACGAAGTGGAAAGCATTCTAGGTTTTGCAATGGCAAATTGTGTATGTAAAGACTGGTCACGAAAAAGTGATGGGGGGTGCATAAAGATGTAACTTTAAATACATGTTGATCGAAAAATAAAGAACGATTTACAGCAAAAATGCACCAAAGTAACCATTGCAAGTATTTTAGGTATTTTTATATGAAGTTAAAGCAAATTTCACACACACATTGCTTAAAAATGCTTTGGTTGTAGATGAGGGCTGCACAAAGACCTGAGACTCTATGTTCTGTACAAAACGCCATCTAGCGATTGTTATGATATTTGCAGGACTAGCTGCCAACCTTGTTTGTGTATTGCTGCAATACAGACCACTGAGTACCCTTAATGTTTGCGCCGCGGAAATTTTTATGTAAAAGAAGGTATCCTGTATGAAAAGACACTCCGTACATACTTAAGGTTCTGTTATGTCATTCATTAATTTCTTTGCTAATTACTAAAGTTTAATAATAAATTGTAAGCGATATCTTGCTGTACACTGTACATGTACAATGTGGTTAATTGGGAAGGCACAAAAAGCGACAAACAACAGAATCTGGTAGAAAACAGACATGACAGCTCATCTTTGTGTTTCGTCCTACACCGCATCAAGCTTGCTTGGGGGTTGAATAGAGCGTCGTCGCTTGTTTAGTTTTAACAGTTGACTTGAACTGAATATGTCTGAGTACACACTGACAGCCACCTGTTAAAAACAACTAATTAGGTGCGTGGACTTCATTCAGGAAGCAGAAAAACAAGCATACTCCTGGCTACTGTACGCATATCTTCATGAAATGTTGAACTCTTGACGAAAGATTAGCTACTCATATTTTTGATTAAGCCAAATGTAGAAATTGTAAAGTTGTAGATTGTGGGGTCGTGTGGCGCAGCGGCAGCGTTCTCCGACTCGGAACCAGAGGCCCCGGGTTCGAGTCCTGAAATGCCACCGATCTTGTGCCCTTGGGAAAGGCACTTTACACGACTTTCCTCACTTCGCTCAGGTGTAAATGAGTATTGTACTGTCCCTGTGTTGGTGGCGGCATTAATATAAGTTGAAAAAACTTGAGTGTGCCGTCACCACGTCTTGTGATTGCATGTTTCGGAATATAAAAAAAAAAAAAAAAAAAAAGATTGCCAAGGTCATAACGCCGAGTCCTGCCTGGGATTCGAACCCAAAACCTTTAGTCAACAAGGCTAACCACAAGACCACGTTGTAGTGTACCCCAAAGTTCTATATCTTTTCTCAGTAATACAAGTAGGACAGTGTAGTCATATCATGCGACACCTGCTGTAGCTATGCTTGCATTCTTCTAGTCACTGACCTAGAACATTTGGACAACACTTTGACTCCATTTAAAAAGAATCAGGTCTAAATTATATAAAAAGTAGTATATTTTTTTCCTTCTGTATACGAGATGGCAAATATTTAAAAAAGCTAAACACTTAATAGATATAATTGTTAGCAACTCTGCGAGAATGACTAATAGTAGTTGTGCGTGCTTGCAATGCTTGGTATAATATTAGCGTTATAAGAACGTATTAGTTTAGAGTCAATGTAGAGGGAGTAAAATGAGTACAGCAAATACTACAGAGGTCGAGTTATCCCCAGAGACCACAACTGTGACATGTGATATTCTGTGGTCTGACAGAGGTCAGATAGAATACATCAATCATGGTGATCTGATATATTTAGTAAATACGTCTTCAAGTACCGATAGCCTGGTTACCACACCACCGGGAGCTCCCTGGTATCCTTACGGCGCTTGGAGTGTTGTCCTCCCGTACGCGTCCAGGCTTATTACCACATGCCGGGGAATTTCACGGGGTTAGATTCAAATACTAGTCGCTATACTGGACTACTCTCCAAGCAGAGGTTTGGGTTATTTTTGGCATGTTTTTAGGCTTTTTATCGGGGTTTCTTTTTTGCACTGGATTTTTTTCACACAACTCAACCGGTTCTATAGTCCTTACTCTCAAGTCTAACAAGAGTCTAAACAGATAGGTATAAAAGACCCGGAGGCAATTATGGCTGAGTTAAAAACTGTAAACAACCTGCTATACGATCCACATGTCACCCTGAATAGAAACCCCGGGGCTATTCTAGTCATAACACTATAGACGACACCTTATACCTTTGTATATTTACCTAAAAGGGTTCGTCGCTGACATAACCCTTTACACGCTGCCAAGCAGTTCTACCCTCCCAGGTAAGGCTTTAGCACGCTTGATTGGAGATGCTAAACTGCTTGAATCATTTTATCATCGAAAGGTGTATCAAGGTTGCAATTAGGGTTCGCTGCGTAGGTCGGCGCTGTTGGCTTGTCACAGACCTTAAATAAATAATGAAATATTCAACGTCTAACCCTTAACAAACAGCACGCCCTTAAGAGCACCTAACCCCTTCCTTAAGCCTCTTTACTTCGTGACTGTGAGTTTTTATTTTTCTAGGAAACATTCAGGTCGAATTTTACAATAGCGCGAAAAGGCAGCAGTCGTGGTGTGACCTAGTTGACATCTAACCCACGTATTTTGATATACGGTTTCTCCCTGCGTTGTTCGGTAGCGTTATTCTTGTTTGAGGAAAGCCAAGCACACCGGGGAAGGTAAAGGGTGAGTGCAGGTGTTTCTACCGGGTGTTACTAAGGAAGGTAGCGGTGTGACAGAGAAGCGAGGACCCGTGAAGCAACCCCCGTGTTTCCGATTGTGGAGCCATAGTAACGAGAAAGGCCGCCTCGCTACCGGTAAGTCTCGTAGCCACTCAGGGCTTCCATTTTCTGTGTGTTCCGGTGCAATTTTCTTGAAGATTTCACCAGTTTTCAGGGGATAGAAGAGGTAGGTACAGGTACAAAAGTGTTGTACATGTTTACACTTTTACACGTGCATGTAGGTGCTTTGAAGTTTTTTTCCAAACGCTCGTGTGAAATGTATGCCGAGCGTGACGTGTTGAGATATGTGTAACCTCGACTACTGCTGCCCCTAACCCGACAGGTTACGACAACAGATTGAGGGTATTTGTAGGACTGTTGTGAATGTGTCGCACGAATGTCTTGTGACAGCAAAGGTCGTAGATTATAGTCGACATTCAGTCATAACTTTGCTGAAAAATGAACTAACATAAGTGTACAACTGTATGTGACAGCGGCAAAAGGTAACGACATACTTGCCAAATATTTCATGTATTTCAAGCAACATTTACATGATTTAGGATATTTCTTAGATCTAACATTCTAGCTCTAGCCATACTATTACTAAGATTATACAACGTACATTTATGATGTACCCCTGTTGTTGATTTCTACGATATGTAGTTGTGTAGCACTCTGAAGTACTTGCCATTTCTACACGTAGATTTCAACCATTTAACAAAAAGGAGTTCGAAGAATTTTTGTCAGATATTTCATATTTATCATCTCGTATACCGAGGGAGACATAAAGTCTACTACTATTTTGACTTGAGTTCTATAAATGGAGTCATAATGTTGTCTAAACGTTCTAGGTCAGTGACTAGAAGAATGCAAACATAGCTACACCAGGTTTCGCATGATATGACCGCACTGTCCTCTGTAGTACGGAGAATGTAAACGGAAGCTAGAACTTCAAAACATACAAGAGAAAGAACTTAAGGTGGTAAGGTGGTCTTGTAGTTAAGATTTCTGACTAAAGGTTCTGGGTTCTAATCCCATGCAGGGCCCGGCGCTGTGACCCTGGGGAAGTCATTTTACACATTTCGTCACTCGACTATGAAAGTTTCTATCTAGCGTTGCCTAAAGTCAGAGGGAGGTCCTATGTTTGAGGAGAGCCACACCTCACGCACGTTAAAGATCCCACTACACTTATCGAAAAGAGCAGGAATCCTTCCCAGTGTGAGTGGTTCAAACCTTACAGTCTGGTCTCACAGGGTTGACATCTTGAAAAAGCGATAGACACATGTTCTGTTAATACATCTACAACTGAGGTAAACCTCAATAGATGAATTGCTGAAACTACGTACATGTGCACAGATTCACCTGAGTCTAGTGAGGGAATCGAATAACGTATATGTAAACTTCATGCCAGCCTACGACACATATGCCAGCACTACCAAATTGGTCACAGATTTAGGGTGGGACACATTAAAGGACAGACGCACAGCAAGTAGACTTACATTACTTCAGAAAGCAAGACACTCAAAAACAGCCCTTCCGGTCAAAACCTTGTTGACGCCTATCCCGCGCCAATCGCGACACTTCAACTCCAACTCATACAAACCACTAACGTTTCACAAAGACTGTTACAAATATTCATACTTTCGACAAACTGTCAGAGATTGGAACATTTTGCCCCAAGAGATAACTGATACTGCGGAACCTACGAAGTTCAACGCTGCAGTACTGCAACACCTAAAGAAGCAGCAATAGCGCATCGCACAGCTCCCCTGCACGCTTTACCCCAATCTAGGGGTGTTGTGCAGTACACGAACAAGAACAAGAACAAGAAGACCATGCACACGACTTTCGCCGCGGTCTCAATCGTCGTAGATCGCCCTACGACTACTTAGCTGTCTTTGCATTTTCAAGCAAACTATTGCAAAACCAACCGCCGACAAGGATTTCAGACAGCATTTTTCATAACAAGACAGTTGAATTTTATACGACAGATGTACAACTATCCCACGAATGCCTCAGTTTAAGATCGCACTGCGATCGTACAACACATGTTACGTAACCAGGCCCTTACACCCACAACAAACGAAAGACAATTGTCGGGCTTAACGAAGAGGTTTTACCTAGATTAGAAATGTTTTCGCGGCGAGCTTAAGTGATTACATTTCGTAATGAGGTCTTAGTGTTTGTTTTCAATCCATTAGGGTGGTTTCAGGCTCATAATTCAAAAGGAGATTGAAAGATAATTACTTTAGACATGGGTCTTTGGCCACAGGGACAAATGTTAGTTAGGCCTAGGGAAACAATATTGTGTTTCAGGTTTCGGGCCTGAAAAACAAGGATAGGTAGGTAGGGATTCTCTTTTTTACCCTCATTTTAAAAGATTTTGGTACAATCTCCGCGTAATAATAATAGGAGAAAATGTAAAGATATAGTTTAGCATTATAACTCAAGTTTCACTGCGACTAAGTTACAGAAAGTTTTCTATGCGTAGTAAACTAAAGCAGACAATTTTGCTACATATCTAGAAGATTTGTAGAGTCCATAGCTTTTAAGAACCTTAACTTGTTTTTCTTAACATGCGGGGATACGGAACTAAAGCTGCATCTAGGGTGGCATCCCGTCATTTGATTGGCCCCCTCCCTATAATTCAATTAACTCAGTGGGTAATGTTACGAGGGCTAATAGATTAGTACTGTTGAAAGGTTGCAATTAGCCCACCGGCATGACATTTTGATTAAGTTCGTGTATTCAGTATTACTGTAAGTTAAAGGTAGCTAATGCAATTTCAGGGTGCCAAAACTCGATTTTCTGGTCATTGTAGTAAGTTGAGTCAACCCTACCCCATAGCATATTGCTGTCTGTGAGGCAAAATGCGATGCCGCTGACGGAAAACGGTTGAATTCGTATTGTAGACTGGTTCTGGCTATTTATTGGTGGTACCAAAAATTAAAAAGACGCCTCACGTAACAAGCATCAAATGTGTTAAGAAATGACAGCAAATGTCAACGTGACAGATTTCCTCGTCCATATTTTTACCCTCTGAAATTACATTGCATGCCTTTAACGCACAATGACACTAATTATTCCTTTGTTAAGAAAAAAAGAATACTCCAAAATGGCCTATTTTGTTATGTCAAGAAAGTAAAGATCCTTCGTACTTTGAGTGGTTTGTGTAATTACTGGCCGCCACTTCCCAACGATTGAAGTACAGTAGTCAAGCAATTAGGCCCACATACAAAAACAAACATCAAGAACCTTGCTGGTATTTATATACCCTCGTCTGCCGGACTATGCCTGAGTGCGTTTGACTAGACCATAGATAAAACTGCAGATATGGCCCCATTCCATAGGATAAAATTGTCCGGATCGAGCCGAATTGATTCGCTTTGATCCGGTTGGCTTCGAGCTGGATCGAAGTCAGATCAAAGCGGATCAATTCGGTTCGATCCGGACAATTTTTACCCTAGTGGGGATTGGGCGTATGTGGCGGACACGCAGCTGTTATCTCATTGGTCGAACCGATAATTGACGTTCTCTCATTGGTTGAACTGGCAATGTAAATGACAGTCAGGACCGGCATGTTGTGAACGCCGCCAATGGGGGCGTTTCTCACACTAATAGTCCTAGCGTTACGTCATTCCTGTCGTGAGAGTGTTGTACAAGTACTTGAGTTCTGACTGGCAGCAGTCTGTTGCTAACAGCACGTCTGGAGTTCAAGTGCCCTTGCGACTTGAGTAGGGGTTCAGCTGCGTTCTTAAGGAGTAGGATCGTGTCAAGGTTCTGAACATGGCAAGTGGTATCGACCCCTTCGTGGTGGAAGAGAAAGGAAGAATTGTAGAGGTGTGTCTTAAGAATTCTTCAACGCCTTTTTTTTTGTAGCCACGGTCATTTTGCGCATTTTTTTACATATCTGACTCTGTAGCAAAAATGTTATTGAATTTTTTCAACGTCTCTCGTAGCCTACGTCCATTTTGAGTATTCTTTGACATGTCTGATTGCTTTTTTTGGCATAATTTCTTTCGAATTATTTTTGGTAATCGTTTTAGTTCAAGTTCAGATCCCCCTCCCTTCCACAACGCGAAGTTTCAACCCGAAGGCACCCCGAAGAACATCGAAGTTTCAACTTCAAGTTCGTCTAAAAATAGAAACGCAGGTCAAAATAGGCTGTTAACACGCACACAGGACCTCGTCTGGGTCTTTGCAAATATAACCATATCATAGCAAGCACTTGTAACTAATGCACCCTGGATTGTTGATCCAAGTAACACAGAACACTAGCAACGCCACAGGTACTGTGTACACTACACAGAAATCGCTTGTGGTTGAGTAACTACGATATAGCCTTACTCTTTGTTTACAAAGCATTGGGTGTACAAAGAAGCCCACATTTGGTGTTTCAAGTTGAAGCTACTTGAGTCAAAGTTTGTCGGTATCTATGGATACGTGTAGTTCTTGTTGTTGCCTCTAATTGTTAGGGGCAAGTCACGAATGCGAATGTACATGTACATGTATGTTGTAAGATCGCAAAACCAAATCCAACAATTAACGTTACTGTCTTTAGCCACCGAGTAGCTAACCTTGTCAAAGGTAAGAAAGGAAGGAATCTTAATGTGGGAACACGCAGTATGGCAATGTATTGAATGGTGTATAAGTCCTATGGGAATACGCGTTATAGTACTACAATACTCAATAGACTTGCTACAACAATAACTGTCCTTACTTGTATGTCAAAGGTTTGACATTTCTCTGCGTTCCCAAGCCATTTTTTCTTCGACAGAACATTACCTTCAACAGAAGGTTATGTTTTTGGTGGCGTGTGTGTGTAATCACTATATATATATTACTGTGTATACATATGTATGTATGTGGTTTAGCACAGTAACTCAAGAAGCTATGGATGGATTGTCATGAAACTTGGTAGGTGGGTAGGTCTTCATGAGACCTAGAAATGAGATTTTGGAGCCCCGGTGGCCTGTTTGCTATGTTTCACACTAGGAGTACGCTACACATCTTAACATCGGCACATAAAAGCAGTAATATATTACACGTTTGACATGCCTCCATTAGTAAATGGTAATTGCCCTTTAGGCGTAATTGCTTCTATAAATAGGCTTACATTGCAGGTGCGGCTGCTTGCTATACGATTTAATGCCGAGATATTAAAATATCTTTAGGTCATACCAGGAGTAAAACGTGTTTTTTCATGATTTAAATTTGTTGTTTATTTTTAGCGTTTTCGTAAAAAAGTATGTGTATTGTAAAGAGTAGTATAGATGGTCTGTACATGTATCTTACCATGAGGATGACTGATTGAGTTCCGTACGTGTACCGAGCTTTTGTTGTTGCGTTTGTCTGTTTGTTTGCTTGTGTGTCCGCACTTATTCAAATACCGTAGAGTACAGACTGACAGGGAGGTCGAATTGGACGTCAAAAGGGTCTTCCAGTAGGCTAGTAGCGTGATAGTAAGTGAGGGGGAAATGATGTAACCTCAGACTGACAGGAAGTTCGAATTTGAGGTCAAAATGGTCTATCCACAGGCTGGTATTATATTGTACTCATAACACAATGCATGACATATGTCTAATCTGTTTTGTGTCCTTCCAACCAGGTCATAGGTGACAAGAGATGAGAGATCAAGATGGCGGACGAACAATATAAGAACCTGAACTTCCCTGAAAGGGACGTCGCCGTAGAAGTCCTCAGCGACAAACTCAGAAGGGCCGCCATGTTCATAAACGAACGAGAGGCGCAGCGCTACAAGAGAGCCATGCAACAACTGGACATATCCGTGAAAGAACAGGACGAAAGACAGCGCGCTGTCAAAGAGAAAACCAACGTGAGGCTGAGAGAGATTCTGGCGTCCAAGTTCGCGCTGACAGAATTCGACGCGGGAACGGAGGACGGGTCACGTGACGAGACCAAGTACGACCCGTTGCATCACGGGAGTTACGCGTATCACAGAAACCTCCGGGAGGCGTACGACCGGAAATACGTCGCTCTGGAACCCCGAAACGTTCGTATGAGACGCCAGAGAACCATCCTGCAGAAATGTAGAAGCTACAGCGACCCGCTGTTTGATCGAACTGAAACAACCTCCGCTATTTTCAGACGATATCGTCCATCAAAGCGCCCTCTATCTGATACTATGAGATATGCAGACGATAACTCAACAACATCCAAGAGGAAAGGCATCCAGCAGGTTGAAGTGAAGGAAGGTAGAAGAGCGTCCCTGAGCAAAGTTTCTACGTTACCGACTTTGTCTCTCCTTATGACCAAACCAAAGCTAATCCCTGTCGACTCGACTGAGGATCTTGACAAGACAACTGTGGAAGAGGTACCGATTAGAAAACCGGACAAACAGGACTCACATGTAGATAGAACCGTGCGAGGGAATCATAAAAGTAGAACATAGCATGGGAATTTTTCTGTGTTGGTAAACGACTCAAGGAACAAAGGACTGAATTGTACAGACCAACATTGAATCGAATATGGCTCAACTCAAAATTAACGGAGACGGAGGGCGACACAGGTTATCCGCCGGTTGTCACAGCCACTTGTCTCTGACGTCACATAACGGATAACCTATAACACCTTCCGTCTCTGTTAGTTTATATAAGTAATTGTCAGTGTCAGAACTTTAGTCAGAATCAAAGCATGTAGCCTCTTGTAGAGTAGAACTGTTGTCGCAACAGACGTTGTGTTCATATGTTGAGTATTTGTGAAGTTATGAAGAACATAATAATTATGTTCTTCTATCTATGTAATGATTGTCACCAGCACGTATTTCATGTAAACTTGTGTTTTGAAATCCATGACACCACCGATATTTCGGTACGTACCACCTGAGTTTGACAATACCTTGTGTACCTTTGTCTGTGTATGTGTAACATTTTGTATCATTACTAGTGCGATGTAAAGGTTACCAAATGTAGAATTATAAACAATACTATACTGTCTGTCTCGTATCCTGGACTTCTTTGTATCGAGATGTTATAGAATGTATTAAAAGGTCAACTGTCAACCAGTTCTATAGAAAGCACACACAAGGGAATAATTGTTGTGGCATCACCTGCAGTTAAGAAAACACCCGGTAGGAGTCGAACACCGGCAAACCACAGCCGACCTTGCTAGCATGTCCTGACCTACTCCTAAGTATGATTGGGGGGGTGGGGGGTCGACATTGTTTGGGAGGCCATATTCGGCTATGTGTGACAGGGAATAACACAATGAGGAATCGACTGTGCTTAACAAGACTCCATCCTTGTGCATTAAATAATGAACTGAAGAAAGAATGGACACTGTGTTAAGAGGGAGTTGTTTTAAGCCTCTTAAGTCTATGATACTACAAAATCCATGTGTCACATGTAGGTTGGCCACTTCTGTTGATATTTGTACATCCTGTTGCTGTAAGGCCTCGCGGCTACGTGGCTTCCCGCCAAAAATCGATAGCCGAGACAATACCTGACCAAACTGTCGTCTGCACAGATGTACGTTAAAGTCACGTGATCTGCAACAGCAGGATGTAGCCAACAGATTCTTTGTTTTTCAGCGAGAAAAAACATTTTTTTGTGACAAATTAAATTTTTGTAAAAGAAAAAAAACAGCAACAGAAAACGGGATTGTTCTGAGAGAATTTAACAATTGTTCTACTTCTGAATTGGCCTTTTTAAAACACCGAAAAATGCATGTATTTGTGAAAGAAAAAGACGAAAGAAATCAATATTTTGAATATCGATTTTTTTTGCTTTGAAGTATCCTGTCCTAAACCGTACAATAGACACAAAGAGGCCCATTCGCAGGACAGATTCAATTGTCTCTGTATGCGTGGACCTATATTCGTGCCTTAAGATGGGTAAACTAGGTGTCTTCGTCCTCATCTTAACGGGTATCTCTTTGCCTTTGCAAATGGTGACCCTGGTGCTTCACACGGTGACGATGGCGGACTGCCTGAACAAGAACACGCCGCTACCAGACGTGGTCTGCACCGATACAACCCTCATACCCGGCACGGTGGCCATTGAAGCCACGTATGGCGCCGCTACCCTACTGCTATCGGTATCCTGGGTGGCTAACATCGTTCTAATCTGCGGCCTCAGACGCCGTTATAGCAGCAAGAAGGTCTGGAAACGACTTTTTGTCTGGAAATACGTTATTATGATGTTTTTTGCCGTCTTCTACCACTTTTTGGAGGGGCTGTCTACACAGGGTAACCCGTACACTGCAAGCTTTCTGGGGGTGACCAAAGTGACTGTCGCGTTCCTCATGTTGATCGAGAACGATCGGGAAAGCTTCGGGAAGCCGTGGCAGGCTCGGGTGGATCGGACAGTTTCGGGAACGTTCGCCATCGATAATATCCTGCACTTCGTCATGGCCGTACCGTTCCTGAAGAGCGTGGTGAGCGGGGAGGTCGGGCTGGACGCGACTGTTGTAGAGGGGACGCCTGGGCTGTGGAACGCCTTTCTACTGCTGCTGACTGTCAACAGTGTGGCCTTCAGGTAAGTAGTAAGTAGTATTAGTAGTAGTGGTACTAGTAGTAGTAGTAGTAGTAGTAGTATAGTAGTAGTAGTAGTAGTAGTAGTAGTAGTAGTAGTAGTAGTAGTAGTAGTAGTAGTAGTAGTAGTAGAAGTATATTAGTAGTTAAAGTATAAGTAGTAGTTACTGTAGAAGTAGTAACTGTAGTAGTAGTAGTAATTGTTGTAGTAGTAGTAGTAGTAGTAGTTGTAGTACATCAGTATTCCGGAAAGATCTCTAAACAATCCCGGAATGCATCACGCCTATGCTATGGATGAGTGCCATGTGTCTAACAAAAGTCAGGTTTGTAAACACAATTGCCTTTGAAATTTGCTGCCCCCCCCCCAGGCGACAAAAAATTACACTGAAGTAGAGTGAAATACGAATATGTCTGCTGATTATGTATTTGTTAATAGATAATTTTGTGGAAATCCTACTCTCAAATTTACTCCACCCTGCTCCCAAATCCAGTGCTCCCTTGAAGACAACAAAATAATCTCAAGTCAAAACACATGTTTAAGACTACCGTTACATCTGTATCTGAACAAGACTTGCGAATTCGAGACTGAAGTGTTTGAGAGTTTTTTTCTGCATTCCATTCGCATGAGACAAGAAAAACACATCCTGGGTCACAGTCTGCAAACGGATGTGTAAATAGTAGGGTTTTGTTTTGTCTCAACACCGTATTAAGGCCTGGAAAATTAATGCCATGTTTCCCTTTGAAAGGTCCTGAAAAGAACTTGCCTCGGTAGCTACAAATTCTCTCTTCTTTTGTTGGATGGAGGGGGGGGGGGTGAGTGAGCCAACAGATTCTATTCTGTTTAACACTGCTCAAATCCATTCGCTAAGCACTTGACGTGTGTTTAAAGACATGATTTTGACACTAAAACTTTCAACAACGCATTCTAATTATCATTCATATGATGGATGGTATTTACATCAATAAACTGAATAAATAAGTGCTATATATACTACACATTGACAGTTTATATCACGTTACAATATTGCAACAGAAATGAGGAGAACATGTTGGAAAAATAATCACATTTTCATAACCCAGATATCGAATTCCTTCCTAGTGGTTGACCCCCAAAAGAGTAGGATCAGTAAGCTTTTGCCCTGGGCTAAGTTATTGATTTAAATCCCTTTTCTCAGTTGATCCACTATTGCAACAAGTGATCCGTTTTTTTACTTGTAGATCATAAACGCCACCTATCGAATATAGCCTGAACTGTCTCTTAATTTCTAATCGAGCCAGGTTTGGTGTCCTGTGACTGAATAGAACCTGTCGCAGGACATACACACACATGTATGACTATTACGATAAAACAGTTGCGCAAGTGAATAAAAACGCCACCTCCCGGATAAAGATTCAACTGCAGACGTGGTTAAAATAATCTGTCTGAGGTCACGAAAACCCAGAATACTACCCAGAATTCTGAAACTTCCTATTTCGTGTTGGTTTACAGTTGGAACTCTGTTATTGTTATTTCATGACTTTTTTATTATAGAACTGTAATTTGTGCATTTCGTTCAGGTTCGTGTTAGCTCGGTTCTTCCTCCAGCGTTGTTGGATCGGGAACCGGTCGTACAGCCTTCTGGGTGACGCCTGGGACCTTCGCGACTACAACAGGAAGGTTTCCATCGACATGGCCGACGGAGACACCGAGTACCAACCCCTCTCCCGAATAGAAGTCGACGCGCCCGAAGAGCCGACGATCACACCCGAAGAGCCGAAGACAGCCGAAGTGACAGCCGAAGACGGCGCAGTCCTCAGTAACCTTACTGACGAACCAGAGCAAGATAAAGAAATGTAGACATAATGTTGTATTCTTATTAATTAGCAGTACTTAAGGAAATTTGCAAATGACGGCATTTGAAATAGACGGCAGAAATGATATAGACGTTAGGGAGTTAGATACGTTAAATAACGGAATATAAGGTTTGAATTTTTTTAATCGTTACTACATTAGGAACTAACTAAGCTTGGTAGCAATTTTTGAAATCAGACTTGAGTGATGGTAATTAGTTTTTTCTTGTTTAGGCCTACTCTTTAACTGAAATGTTTTGGATTATGCTTTGAGCTGAAATATACAATTTCGTTACAGTGCAGTCAATGGTATCGATATTTGTTATAATGACTACGAATTGTATGTCAAACGCCAATTACCCTATTAAGAATTCGTTATTTTAATTTTTTTCAAATTTTGCTTTGCATAAAATGATGATGCATGTAATATTACCTACACACAATTGACATTTTATTGCAGTGAATATTTTTTAATATTTAATTGCTATATGACGCTATATTGGCTACAGATGCATGCATAGAGATTAATTGCTATGAGATTTTGAGTTGATGAATCAATTTTTGACGTTAATTGTGAAAGAAGAAACTCTAAATCAAGCTAACTGCACGTATGTTTAACATGAAGATGAAGTTGATTGCACGACAATGTTTAACTCAACCCTTGGTATTTTGCTATGTTGTATTCATAACTCATATTAGTGAGAATTATTATATAAGAAATCAGACAACAATTACATATAAGTACTGCTATACTTCCGATCGTAGAAATAATATTTGCGTTGCTATCGGTTTTCATTAAAATGAATTACGCTTTAACAGCCAACCTTCCGTTTCGTTAATTGTGTTATCTTTCTTAATGGACTTCTATACTACTGTACATAACTCTGTTATTGTCTCTTTAGGCCAAAGTAAGTAAATTTTATTGATGACATCAAGAGCTCTAAACATCAAATCTAATACAAGAGCACCGAAAAAACAACTTAATTTTCAAACTACACTCAGGGCTACCATACAAAGTTAATATTTTCTCGTTTTCTTTTTTTGTCATGTTTATAATAACCATCGACGAAGGGAAAAATGTCTTTTTTTATTCGTTACACGAAAATTACTGGACTTAACCTTAACTGTGGCCTTATATTAATAGAGATGCAATAGCCTCTACCAGGGTTCAGGAAGCGGCTGAAAAGTGTAGAAATTGGCCAAATAGACAGATAATATGCCAGGGGAGCTGGTCCGCTAGAGAGTACGGTTAGCCGCTTCAGAAAGCCTGATAGAGGCCAGAATACGATTATGTGTCTCAATATCCTTTCCGGTACGCTTTCAAAATCTTTCCATTTCTTCTTGAGAGACACTGTAATAAAAAGAGTACTGGGTCTATTGTAATACCTATGATCACAGGCAACTAAGGCATGTTGTTTTGGTAGACGAAGGTTAGCCGGCCTTTTCGAGAAGTAGCTTGTCAATGTCACCGGGGTGGTCTAAGGACCGGGTGTTTGTGTTGCCTCTGGGTCGTGCACGTTACGTAAGGACAGAGTGCTCGACTCGGAACCAAGAGGTCCCGGGCTCGAGTCCTGACATGCCACCGATCTTGTGCCCTTGGGAAAGGCACTTTACACGACTTTTCTCAGTTTGAAATTCAGATGTCAGATCTAAAATTTATAGCCCAGCAAGAATTTGACAAAAAGGGTAGGGTTTTTGCTATGGTTTTGCCGGAAAACCTGAAACAAAACAATTTTTTCCTCGGCCTAAAAACCGAACGTTAATTCACCCTTTGATTCGTGACAGCGCAAGTGCATTAGGCACTCGGTCGTGGCATTAGCCAATTAACAATTCGGATCAAAATATTTGATCTGCACATATGATCCGAGTCAGTATATTTGTACAGGAGTCTGCGTGAAATGTAACTTGTCAACAACGGATCTAAAACTCGTGTACCGTGCCGGAAATGTGAATTAAAGAATGTCTACGAACGTAATATACCGATTATTGCATTATTCGTACATTGGTATATAAGGATGACCGTTGGAGCTTTCCATTTAGTGTAAAACTCAAAGCCAGCACGCTGGATTCTACATATAATACGCTGTGTAGAATTTAGAGTACTAGGAGTACAAGAAGGACGCCAGAACTAGTTGTATTGGAATCGTATGCAAGGACTGAGGCAGTTTTACTCTACCGCGGTACTTATTGAACGGGAACTTTTGTCTTGCATACGTCGTACGATTGTCGTACGATCGCAAGCGGACGACACTCGACGACACTCTTGGAACAGTCGTGCATGTGACCTAGATACAGAAAAGGCTCTCACAGTCTTCTTGAAAATCGTACGGTGACTACGAAGAACGCGTAGTTGAAATTGTACATCTCTCAAAATGTTTGGCTGTTACGAAGTCAACGACACGACCACTTACTACAAGGAGGTCGTGCCCAAAGAAGACTGGCCTCCGCCGCATATGATGATAGTCGAAACGCCGATTCCCTGTGACGGTCTGTTTTCACAGATTCAACCTACAGACCCGTCCTACAGATACACAGTGGTGGTGTTGTACGCGGTCATCTTTGTGATGTCCCTGGTAGGAAACACCTTGGTGATCTACACGGTGCTGTTCGATAGGACGATGCGGACGGTGACCAACATGTTTCTGGTGTCCCTGTCTGTCAGCGACCTGCTCATCACGCTTCTCAGTATCCCCTTTCACATCCTCTGGGCGCTGAAACGCTTTGAATGGGAATATGGAGACCTACTGTGCAGGGTAACGTTCTAACTTTGCTAGTCAACGCTAGCTGGTGTTACATATTTTATTACATAGTACATGAAAATGTAGGTATTGTTTTTGGTTTGTCTGTGTTTTTGCATACTCGTGGTCAGCATAACTTAAACAGGCCTTTGTTTATTTGTTTATTTACCATTTGCACGTATATTAAAAACAATTACACAATCAAATAATAATAATCAAAGAATGTGCGGGGTAGGCCAGAAACCTGGGTGGTTTTTCTAGAGGCCTACCCCAAGCAAAGATAACTTATGACAAAACATATTTAAATGAAACATCAAGATTAAACAATAAAATGATTAAACTATGAGTAATTAAACAAAATCAAGACACAGAAATAATAACTGAGGTGTATAAACTAACTAAAACGAAATTAAACAAAAGTCTTATACCTGTAATTCAGGTAGATTTTACAGATTAAACTGATTAAATAATTAACATAAGAATTAAAACAAAATATTAACAATAACAAGGAAAACAAACAAATCAGATTGTGGATGTACTGGGATTTTGTAGGAAAAAGTTTTTAAGAAGTTTTTTAAATACAGGAGTTGACTGACAGTTTTGTAACAGTTGGCTTAACTTATTCCAGACGATGGGGCCTCTATATGCTATTGAGAATTGTTTTTGTGTAGATTTAGTCTTGATCGGCCTTAAATGGTTATGTTGTCTCGTATTGTGCTGGTGAATGTCTGAGTTGAATGTAAAAAAAGTGTTGAATTGATCTGGTAAACTATTGGTATTATGAACGATTTTATGAACAAAAATGGCTATTTGTAATTTGTTTAAGTCATATACATTTATGATTTTTAGTTCACGAAACAGAGGTGCTGAGTGTGCTGTGAAGTGTGTGTTAGCTGCAATTCTAACAAATTGTTTTTGTAGTTGATAGAGTGGTTTAATTGATGTTGTGTAAGTGCTCGCCCAAATGAAATTGCAGTATGATAGATACGGATATATTAGACTGTAGTATAATGTTATAAATATTCTTCGTGGGAGGAGGGTCTTTATTTTTCTAATGATGCCTATGTTCTTATGAATCTTATTGCAAATCAAATCTATATGTATCTTCCAATTAAGTTTTTCATCTATAAGTATTCCTAAAAAGCGAGTGTGGTTTACTTGATTGATACGTTTATTATTTATATATATGTGGGCTTTTTCTTTATCATACTTCTTTTTTGGTCCAGAAAAAATAATAAAACTTGTCTTCTTTATATTAAGGGATAACTTATTCGCCTTGAACCATTGACTGACCTTTTCTAATTCTGCATTTACCGTTGTCAATAGAGTATCAAAATTACTGTGTGACATAAATAAGTTTGTATCATCTGCGAACAACAATGTAAAAAATTTATCTGATACTAATGCTAAGTCATTAACATATATTAAGAATAAAAGGGGGCCTAATATGGAGCCTTGCGGAACTCCACAAGTTAAGGGTTTCTGAGAAGAATTGATGTTTCCATTAGAGACGAATTGTTTTCTGTTACTTAAATAATCTTTCAGCCAACACAGGACGGACCCATCAAATCCATAATTTAAAAGTTTTTCATGAAGTATGTTATGATCTACCGTATCAAATGCCTTAGATAGGTCAAGGAATATACCAATGGTGTATTCATTCTTTCAAGGGCTGCGGTGATTTTGTTGATGAGCTGCAAGAGTGCCATATATGTTGAGTGTTTTTTTCTAAATCCATACTGGTGGGTGTATAAGATATTATTAGTTTCCATGTGGCTCACTATCCGTTTATATACGATTTTTTCTAGGATTTTTGAAAAGACTGGTAATAGTGATATAGGGCGATAGTTAGTGAATACGCACGGATCCCCTGCTTTATGTAATGGAATAACCTTTGCCGACTTTAACTCAGAGGGAACCTTACCACTTTCCAAAGAAGTCTTGAATACATGTGTTACTGGATTTAAAATTTCTGTAGCGATCTGTTTTAAAAGACTGGCACTGATTTCATCTTGTCCTGGCGCTGCATTTTTTAAATTGGTGATTATGTCGTAAATTTCTGTCGATGTAGGTGCCTCAAAAGAACTTACAGGAGGATAGGATCTAGAGTCTTGGAGATATGATAAGGGTGAATGGTTAGTTATATCGATTTCTTTCGCTAAGGACGGGCCAATGTTGACAAAGAAATCATTAAGTTTTTCCACTATGTCTTTAGGATCAGATATCTCTGAATTTTGTTCATGGAATTTGGTAGGAAGATTATTTGTTCCTTTTTTCCGGTTGAGAATTTCATTAATTACTTTCCAAGTATTTCTTATATTATTTGATGCCGCTGTGAATTGGTCTTGGTAATATTTCCTCTTTGACATACGAATCAGACAATTGAATTTGTTTCTGTACGTTTTATATCTTTGTAATATTAATGGTGTAGGATTCCTTACATATTTCTTATATAGCCTATTTTTCCTAATAGATGACTTACGCAGCCCTGTTGTAAACCAAGGTTTGTCGATGCCAAGGTGACGCTTTGTTGAGATTGCCGTAAGTGGAAAACATTTGTCAAAATGTGAAGAAAAGATTTTTAGGAAATTTGTGTAGGCTACATTTGTATCTGTACAATACACACTGTCCCAGGTTTCCTCTGATAATGCCTGTTTAAATCTCTCGATATTACTCCTGGTAAAATTTTCTGCATTTGCGTTTTTCATTTTCATTGTTTACATCTCTGTTGTGTTCAAAATTTATAATGTAAAATATTGGAAGGTGATCAGATAAGTCCGTGACAAGCAGACCCGATGTGTGTGTATTAGATAAGGAGTTAGTCATAATATTGTCTATCAGAGTTGCTGTTTTGTCTGTTATTCTTGAGGGTTTGGTGATAGTTGGATAGAAGCTTACCGAGTACAGACTATTAAGGAAGTCTGAAGTTAATGAATGACTTTCGTTTTTAAAGAGATCAAGATTAAAATCACCAATTAGGTAACAGTTTTTTCCTTCTTTATCGATAGCATCTAAGATTGGTGTAAGGTAAGTTATAAAGTTTTTTATATCCGAGTTTGGAGGCCGGTATATGCAGCCTATTATAACGCCTTTTGTTTTGTTAATGGTGACGGTGGGAGTTCTATAAATATTGATTCAACTTCTTTTTCAACTTGTACTGTAAGGTCATTTCTCTCAATAAATTTTTGGCTCTCATGTATCAGTATTGACACCCCCCCACCCATTCGAGCTAATCTACATTTGTGTAATGAAGTGTAGTTTGGTACATCGTACAAGTATGCGGTAGTGTCTTGCAGCCATGTCTCAGTGAGACCAATAATTGTAAATTCATGGTGGAGGGTGGACAGGTAATGTACGAAGTGGTCGTGATGACGTGGTAGGCTTCTAATATTTAAATGTAGAATTGAAAATGCACTCTGGGTTAGCGTGTTGCACAAAGTATTAAATGAATTTTCTGTATAGTACTGACATGAAGTGTTTGCTAAGCTTCTTAAGAAGTTTACGTCAGGGTCCCAATCGTCTGTATAATGCGTGCTATTGTCGTTTTCGTCATTCAGAAAAAAAGGGTCAAAAATCAGATTGTCATTTTCTAATGATGAAAATGCAGTTTGAGTTCCTTGTTTGGTAAACCCAGAAGTATTTGACGTTGTCATTATTTATAGCTTAGAACATCCTTTATGGATTATGATGATATTTAGTAATACATGTATATAGATAGGTATTAAAAAGACAAAGGTCAGGGTCAAATTTAGGCCTCCTGGTGGCTCACCTTGGTACTGCAGCAGAACTTCCGTTAGATAGTATATTCCGTAACAAGACAGCTTGATTTTATCGACGACATATGCACGACTTAGTTTGCGATCGTACGACCGCAGTACGACGAACGTAAAACCAGGCCTCAATTCTCCACCCACAGTTGCCGCAGTACATCAAGGGCCTGTCCGTGACTGCGAGTATCCTGTCCCTGACTGCGATCTCGGTGGAACGCTACCTGGCCATCCTGCGCCCCCTAGCGGCTCAGCGCTACCTCTCCAGGTTTCGTCTGACCGCGGCCGTGACGCTGATCTGGGCGGTCGCCTCGCTGGTCTACATCCCCCAGCTGCTCTACCTGGGTGTCAGGACTATACCTCAAGAACTTGCCGCCAGGGGTCCTCCCTGCACGCACGACTACTGTGACCTCTTCAACTTCACCATCAAATTCAGCTTTCTGAGGTGCGAGGACGCGTGGGACTCGCCTGAAGCAGAGAGGGCGTACACGCTTTGTCTGTTCTTATTTCTTTTCTGTTTCCCGTGGCTATTATGGGGGGTTTGTATGGTAGGGTGGCCGTGCATCTGTGGTTTTGGCAGCCGGCTGGCGAGCATAGCAGCGTCCGCCTGCGTAACGTAAACACCAAGCGCGTAGTTCGCGTCCTGGTCCTTTTCATCTTCGTGTTTGTCATCTGTTGGGCCCCTTACTTCGTGAGTGTGCTCTTGCGTTTGGGTCACAAGAACGAGGGTGATACAGGGACTGAGGGGTACTACCTACACGGGAGTTTTACCGTGATTGCCCACGCTAATTCTGCCGTTAACCCGTTTCTCTACGCCCTAATGAGCCAGCGTTTTCGGGAACGGTTGGCTTGTTGTCGTAAAGGCAAAGCTAACATTGCCAGTGGGTCGAAAGCAGCTAACATGAAACCGTTGGAAACTGTGACCAAACGCACCAGGGCGTCCACGTTTGGGGAAAGCCAACAGGTGGTCGCACCACTGCACATTGAAATCCAGTTGAATTAAACCATGGAACACAATAACTTAGGTCCTTTTCCAACTAGGATAAAATTGTCCGGATCGATCCGAATTGATTCGCTTTGATCCGGTTATATCTGGTTTCGAGCCGGATCAATTCGGCTCGAGCTCGATCAGGAAATTTTACTGAATGGGGACTTAGTCCTGCGCTCACCTCCGCGTAGGGATGCAAAATAAAGACATGCACATGCGAAAATTTGATAGCCCCTCTCTCATTGCTCGAACCGCTAATTGCCATGCTATCATTGGCTGAAGTGCTATATCAATAAGTCAGGACGAGTCGATATTTTCTGAGAGGGCGGTGCTTTAATACGAGGCATTTGGTTTTTGAGTACAGATATATTATGCTCAAAACTGTGTCATTCTAGCAACGTTACATGTCCATTTAGTCAAGTCTTAATGCGCTTCATACGTTTTTGAGTGTTTTAAAGTGATTTTCTTGTATTGAGTGTATGTACTGATGTACTAGGGATATTATATAGTATTCAGTCATTGGATAGAACTACTCTGTGTAGTGTTTCTTGTTTTGGATGTAGTTATTGAAGGACGTGTGCTATTTTATGATGAAATGCATGAAATAGAACTGACAGAAATGTATTCCTTAGTGAGTCACTGACATTTTCAGTATGCCGTTTGATAGTGTAATGTTGATTATCATTTTTAAAGACTGTTACCTTAGTGTTCCAACCTTAATTTGAGATTTAATCCAAGTTATTTGATCAAAGTTTTCCTGGTTAGTAACTACCGAGAGAATTATTTTGCAAAAAGTACTACATGTATTGACTGTGTGTTTAATCATATCCCATATTCATTGTTATTGAATGTAAATAAAGAACTGAAAATGAATAAACAAACGTGTCGTTTCGACTAAGCCTCTACGTATCAAGACTTACGATGTAACCTAAAAGTAGTAAAAAGAAGGATACGGTTATCACGACTTAAACTTCAAGATCGCAGAATACAGTACATGTATTAATCGGCGACCCCTACGGTGTGGGCATACAAAGTAGTGCGGACGAAATTCTAGGCCTTGCTAAAACGTGTTATGTAAAAGGTAGCCAGGAGTAATCATGTAGCTCCCAACAAGCTTGCAAAACCGGTCTGTGTGCAGTGATAGTGCCTAGATCTGGAAAAAAGGACTAAGACACAATATTTTCTTTTCTACACACCCCTGATTAAAATGGCCCAAGAAACGAATAGAACCAAGACAAGATAGCACGAATGACATCATATGAATACTGCTTTTTGCTGGACAAAAGAACCATGACGATCGCAGTACAGCCATTACGCACCACCCCCTACCAATGAAATGGCTCATTCCAAACTAACCGATCAACTTTGGGTCATGTCACTGTATATAACTCCACAGTTATGTTGTCTATAGGCTTGAAAATAATCTGTACGGGCAATGTATTAGAAATGATACGTTCAGTTAGACAGCAGCGAAGCTTATTAAATACGTTTGAATCTAAAATTTTGGAGACAAAAATATAAGGAATTCATAGCATATTGGTTATTGCATCCAAATCATTTCCACCCCCTGCTCTTTAAGTGGTTCCTTCCATCCTCGAGTAGTCTTGAGTATGCGCATATGCTGTCTTTAATACTACCAGGTGAATGAATGAGATACGATGTTGATCCTTCGGATATAAAGGATGTAGTCGGTTGATAGTGACTTTGGCTATTGTAAAGACATTGCAGTGGGAAAGACATTCGCTAGGTGGCAGCAGCGACTGGAGAACTCAGAAGTCCACAGTACGCCCTTTTTGTTTGCTCCACAGGCGACGATTTTCGAAGGTAAGATTTTCACCGGAGATATTTACTAGTGTGCGAGACATAAGGGTGTGGTCAAATTTGTCGTACGTTCGTCGTATAATACTAGTAACTTAAAGGTGGTTCTTGCGGAAGTCGTGGACGAGTTCCATGGTCGTACTAATTCGAAAGGGTAGTATTATAGTTGTATGATTGTCGGTAGTTGGTTCTGTCACAGCCTGCTTGAAAATACTACGACATTAAATTCGTGCGACGGCCTACGACAAAACAAATTTGCTTGTGTCCTAAGTATATGACAGCTACGTTTAGCACATTCGTAGGACTGTAAGGCAAACGATCACTGAATGACCATTCAGCGACAAAATTAGATTTAATTGTGTGATCCTTGATGATTAAAACATGATGCAACATGTTCAAGTATGATTTAAAAGCCAAAACCACAACAAAAAGTAAAAAAAGAGAATTCGCGTAGAAATCTATAGAATATGGTAACTCAACGATTGCAGCCTCTACTGAAAATGGGGACTAAGTAATTACAATGTATATATCGTAGCCCGCATTTGTTCATATTGGCACGATGTGGCTTGTGTGAGTTGACTACGCATTAGGATGTTGATATGGTCCATTTTTTGTTTACTTGGGCCTGTATTTTCGTCCGGAAGACTTAGAACGGTATATGACTTGACAACGTATGACGTGTCACTTTGAGTCCATTGAAAAACATACAATTACCTGTAGGGCTCGAAATACTGATTGCCTCTGTACTTTTGTGCAACCACTTTTGGAGCTGTACACATGATTGTGTTTTTAGTACGGTTGCGCTGACATACCCAGCTATTTGTATAAGGTTATGTTTTACGTACACTATTATACAATTATAGTATATAACATATTATAGACATTGTAGTGTCAGACACTGTTGTGGTTGTCTTACTAAAAAAAATCTAAGTTAGATTTACGGTTTCAGTAGTTCAGATTCAATGTTTGTAATTAAGATTTGCTGACATTCTACTTTATTTCATGTCGTGTGACCATTTTTTTCTGTGCACCAGTGCACATATTCTCAGGGCCTATACTACAATTAAATAGCCCGCAACAAGCTTGCAAAACCGGTCTGTTCACAGAAATGGTGCCCAGATCTGGAAAAAAGGACTTTTTACGTCCCATCCAAGAAGACATTTATGCCTGAAGCTAGGCACTCATTTTCACCTGAGTGGAGTGAGGAAATATGCCTTAAGAGCTTTTTTTCCAAGGCACGAGAGTGGGTCTGAACAGAATAATTAATTTTTACAGAAAAATGTTTGAATTACTCTCTAAATGTGATTACAACCTTCCACTCTCTCTCTGAAGCAGGAAATTCTCAATTGCAACAATACTCATAAGTCAGCTCAAACATAAGCTTAGCTTTAGCAACACGTGTTTTCAATGGCTTGGAGGCGAACGTCAACTTCAAGAAAATACAGACATGTCTATAATACCAAGATACCCAGGAAGTTGCTATATGTTCAACTTAAGTATCAAATTTGTAAATCGTGTCGCAATGTTTGGATGGCTTTCTAAATGTTATTGCAATCGGTCTGCACCCCTTATATAGCAGGGAACGTTTTGTCACAGTAATATCCGTAAGTCAACCTATATGCAAAGCTCTTAGGCAATCCATAGCTTTATCTACATTGTATAAGTTCAAGGCATCCTATTTTAGTTATAGATTTTCGCACTGCATAACCTGTTCCCTACTGCCTGAACCCATTTCCAGTATATAGAGAATTTGTAGCCAAAGGCTGCATCATCATTTTAGAGGCTGATAACAGAACACCTGCTCTTGTTTTTATTTTTAAGGCAAAATAATTAACATGGGGACGGTTGCTAAGATGCTGCTTATGGTGTGTCTTCTGCCACTTCTAAGGAATGGTGAGTTATCTATTTATAAATTGGTCACATTTCCAAACCGGGGCCCGGCCGGGCTGTATGTGTGAACGAAAAATAAACAATTCATATCAGGAATGCATGTATTACGCAAAGAGTGCAATTTTTTTCTTCCATTTTTTGTCTTCTTTACTTTTATGTGACACTTTTCGTTTGGAAATGTAGCCTTAGCTAGCATTGATTGCTATTGTCGACTTCCAAAAATTATATTTTTTTCTTGTTAGACAGTGAGAATATATGTTTTTTGTTACAATAGTTAGCTTTGATGTTTTGTTTACAAAGATGTGTTTTTATTTAGCTGTTTGTGTGTTTCCTTGTGTTTACGAGGTTATTTCCACATGCCAGACACCTCGGAGACACTGATAGGAAGTTAGGTCAAAGGTCCCTGAAAAGGCTATCTAACTCCAACTCCATGTCTTTGTTTTCTTGTTTTTGTTACAGTTGAAGGTGACCTATTTGAACAGAGTCAAGCTTTGGCGGAGATAAGTCACACGCTCGAAGATTTGGAGGTATGTCTATGGAAAAACTTCTTACACTACAAATAAACATATGCAGCTTTAGGCCACACCAATTTAATTTCTTGGTTAACGGATTTTTCTAGAAAAATAATGGAGCGGGCGGGCGAAAAAATAAATAAAAATAAAAACAGGCCTAGGCATCGTATTATGGCCCAAAATGGTACGATAGGAGCCATGAAGTCAACACACCAGGCTGGTTCAAAATTTAAACAATGAATTTTGAACTTTTAATGATACCATTGCATTGAAAGATGGAATAACTGTAACAAATAGGATGAAAAGGTCTGTTTTCAACTGTTCAGGGCAAAATATGAGCATTTTGCAGTTGATTCTGGATTTTTATTTTATTTGCAAATCTGAAAAAAATGAAGCGGCGAATCCGTTAACCAAGAAATTAAATTGGTGTGGCCTTAGGTAAGATTTTTTACGTCCAGATTCTTTCCTTTGTTTGGTATAAAGAAAAGCCACGTGCTACCATAAAGTCCTACTTCTGCTAATCTAGGGTTATACTCTATGTACTTAAAAGTAATAACGTATGCATATGTGACATAGAGAGGACATGTAATACATGAACAGATAATAGAGAAATGGCAACTACCATTCTATTCTTTAAAAAATTCTATCTCTAAGTTAAGCTATTAAGGAGATTTTTACTTTTTTCTCTGGAGGTAATGGAAAAATTTTCCATGTTTTCAGGACGTAGAACAACTGCTGGAACGGAAGAGAGAAGAGGAAATTTTGCAGGTAAGGGTTTTATTTTTCATCCTCTCCAAAGATGGTGTCAGTAGTGGGATTGATCTACAACACGTACCTACAGGACAGACCATCGCAGGCATTGCTTATATGGCATGTTTTCTCTGGTCACGGTTATTTCGATTGTTAAATCAGTATTAACGCAAACAATCTCAGTATTTGAAATAACTGACTAACGTGTGTAACCCAAGTAATCACTACATCTCTTCACGCATCTGAATAAGAGAATGAGCATTTTAAAAGCTACCTCTGTTAACGCATTTGAACGAGTATTGTAACTGTTGTCATTGTATATTGTCTAGTTACCAGGGATAGCGCTCTAAAATAGCCTTCGGCTATTCGGCTAGATGTATTTCATACAGCCTATTGAATCAAATCCAAATCCTTTAGTCACCAACCCAAAAAATTAAAAGTCTTTGGTAATTAGAGACCAGAGTATTGAAACTCAAAAAACTGCACACACATATGTCTATCTATTGAATATTGACATAGAATAATCAAGTCGTGAAGCGTTGTGTTTGAATTACTCTCAAAAGCTTATTGCAACCTCTTGGCGTGCGTCAAACTCATGCGAAGAGACACTGGCAGGCTTCATTGGATTGAACTTTGTATGAGTCGGTATGTAAGTGAAATTCTGGCTTTTATGCCTGGTCTTCTGGACATCCCATAGTTACATTAATAGCAGATACCTCTCCGGCTAATGAATAAAATGTGTATGTTTTGCCCTTAGCAGATTTTGTTGATCTGCAGGGGCTGATTTTGTTTGAGACTTTTAAAGGTCACGGTTAAAACTGGTCTTTTTTTGCCAAATTTGCACAACTTCACTCTTACACTTTTCAGTCGGCCCGTCTGCCAAACAACGTGGTGCCTCTCCACTACGACTTGCGGCTCGAAGTGGATCTGCAGAAGTTCGAGGTGATTGGCCGCGTGGCCATCACCGTGAGATGTGACGAGACTTCCTCCTACATCCTGCTCCATACCGATAAGATAGAAATAGTTGGAGGGGTTTCCCGACCACGGTTGCAGGGACAAGATGGTGGCGACACTCCCACAATAACTTCTTGGTCACTACATCCTGGTGAGTTATTTCAATACACGTTTGATTATATCTACTTCAAATATGGAATAGGTGACCAAGGATGGCGGATCATGGAAAAAGAAGAATAATTTGTGGAAGAAAAATGATAGTAGGGTCTGCATGGGGTAATTCAGGAGGCCCGGCAACGCTGAACAGGACTGTTCGAATTCCAGTGTATACATGTGCTATTAAACAGCCACTTCCTTTCAGCTGTCCTAAAATCAGAAATAACAGTCTACTCCTTGACAAGATGACATTGTATGGCATGTATTCTGGCAAACACTTAAGTAAATATCCTATTCTATTCTTAACAGTTTCCCTTGCCAGAAAAAAGATGATCAATATAGAATGTGTGTGATTATATATGAAGATTCGTTGATTTAATTTTTTTGCATTTTTTTCCAGAAAACGACTTTCTGCTGCTAAAGTTAGACGGTGATCTTATCAAAGATGGCGTCTACATTGTCCGGATCCATTTCAGAAATGTCCTCAGGGACCAACTGATCGGACATTACCGTTCTTCCTACTTAAATGGAAACAAGGAGAAAAGGTATGACTTAGCGTCCTCCAAGGTAACTGTTTCAAATTTGTAAATTCTTTCATTATGAGTCTGAAAGAAATAGGGTTTACAAAACAGTTACCCCAACATCACCGAATGAAAAAACATACATTTTCTACTATAGTAACAAAACCAACCATTTATTCAAACGCTAAATTCACTACCAACTGCCTTTTAAACTTTGAGAAGCATAACCTCTCAGCAATGTACTTAGAAACACCAAAAAAGAGCTACGGACTTGTAATTTTTATCCATTTGACCCCCAGATTGACCTTCCTGTCAGTCTGTGTTTACATCATTCCCTCTCACTTCCTATCACTCTACTGTACTTAGATAGCTATATAGGCACAGTTGCAGTTAAATTAAATAGACAAAGAAATCCACCGCAGTAATGATTTCAAATTAATATTTTTTGCCCATATATTTATACCAAATATTGCCCGTTTCAATAAAGGCTGTAGCTCCTTTAACATAGACATCACATACCCTCTAGATCTTGCGTATCATGTCACTGATACCCATGGTTTTCTCTCTTTTTTTACAGGTATCTGGCAACAACTCAGTTTGAACCGACCGGAGCCCGGAAGGCGTTCCCGTGTTTTGACGAGCCTGAACTGAAGGCAACCTTCAAAGTAACCCTGGTGCACCAAACCGAGTACCACGCAATGAGCAACATGCCAATAGAGCGAAGCGTCAAGGGGTATGGAATTGTTTTTCTTACCATATGTGTCAAATGTTTTCAGGAAGAAAGCAAACTTGCATCAAGAAATTGAACAGTTTTTGTGAATTTCTTTTGTTTATTGCAAATTTCTCGCCGATTCTGCCTGGCTCATGTATGTAGTAGAAAGTTGAAGACAGAAAATGAGATAACCTTTTCTAGGACCTTTGAACTAAGCTTCCTGTCAGTGGTCCCTATTGTGGAGACACAAATAAACAAATGGACCCACCGAAAACAAAAAGGCAATAAAGGTACCACCTGTTGACGCTATGAGGCAAAATAACAATGTGCTTTATAACCCATTTGCCATGAAGTTGAAATACACAAGACAGTAGACATTAACATATGCCATTCGTTCCTACACTGCTTTACAGAAAGGACGGCTGGGTCACCGATCATTTCCTGACGTCACCAAAGATGGCGACATACCTTGTTGCTTTTGTTGTGTCTGACTTTACATCGGTACGGCTGACAACACAATCAGGGATTGAGGTAAGAGACCTCTACAATAGAAAGAGATGGTTGACAATAGGATTGAAAGGTCTTACCCTTTATAAGGTTTGGTATTTCTGCATCTGTATCTAAATCTGCAGGTATAACCGCCCTTCGGCGTAACACACCAGCTTCGCAGGCACGCGGCGCATCGCCGGCTAGCTGTATTACACTGAACAACTTGTTACACTCAATCTTTGCACGCATCTAACTACAGGAATTATTTAAAGCTTTCTAATGATGATGTACCAACTTGGTGGCAACGAGATTCACTCTTAAAACATACGAATTTTTGAACACCCAAATTCTTGGTTGATAACTCTGAAATTTGAAGGCATGACTGTTTTTTGTTCTTTTCTGGGTTGGTATTAGATGCTTTCTTTGAGTTATAACTCAATATCAAGTTCTCTTCCTTCATATTTTAGAAATACTAGTAATTGTGTTTCTTTGCAGATCAGGGCATTGGCCCGGCCGCAAGCCATTGCCGAAGGAAAGGGGGCCTACGCGCTGGATATTGCCGGGAAGATTCTTCCCCATTTTGAGGAGTACCTCGGTGTCCCTTACTCCTTACCAAAATTAGGTATGTAAACAGTTCAATGACTAAGTGTTGTTTTGAGTTTTGTGTGCCCGTTTTTCTGAACAGCACGCCATGCAGGAAGACTGAAAGGCAGGTCAAAAGGTCAGACACAGAAAATGGGAAAAAGTTGAGAGTAGACTAACAACACGTGGGTGGGGAAGATTGACAGGCAGGATGACAGGATCGCGAAGGTCAGGCATAAGAGGAAATGTAGATTATGGTAGTTTGTGGTGCGTCTGGTGTTGTGATTACATGTGGGTATTTTTTTGACAGATCTTGCTGCGATTCCCGACTTCCCGATGGGAGGGATGGAGAACTGGGGTCTCATCGTGATGACAGAAGACTCGCTGCTGTACGACGCCAAGATTCCCTCTGCAGCGGCTAAAGAAAATGTCATTGGCGTGGTGTCGCACGAGCTCGGACATATGGTATGTCCCATTCCTAAAAGTTTATAATATACAAATTAGGAGAGTAGAAACAGAAAGACACTCCTTGTCCCGGACCGGAAAGTTTGCACCCCGACGCTCTAACCATTCGGCTAAAAGGTCTAGCCCCCGCGGCTGGATC